GGATGATTAAATATACTAATATATGTTGAATTATAAATCCAAAAATCCAATGAATGATTAAAACTCTATTCTTGAAGATATAAATTAAATGAGAGATGATGCATATAATGAAAAAGTTAGAACATTCAGTAAATATCATGATATAGACCAGGAAAAGAAAAGAGATAGATAAAAACTAAATAAAGTTAAAGCATATTTTTGAGTTATTCATTTTTATTATAGCAACTTTAATTAATATAAATTCAACTCTACATCTTTTATGCATTAATCAAGAGTTGATAATAAATATAGAAAGATATAAATGTATTTAAAATTATTTATGTAATTATTTTCAAAATTGAAGTTATTTATAATTTGAAAGTTTGCTATTCTTATATTTGTATTAATACATAATTTATTAAAACAAAAAGATATATATATTTAACTTAATATTCCTTATTCTTAATTTCAAGTTCATTTATGAATATCAAATATAAGAACAATCAAAAATGATAATTAATTTATTATAATTTAACGAATAAATAAAATATGCAAATATAAATACCAAAAGATGTTGTCAAACTTTAATATGATTTCTAAAATTTACTTAACAAATATCATGGATTAGAATAATTGTATATCAAGTAATCAAATGAAATTTTGTAATTAAAAAAAATAAATGAAAATCTAAAATGTAATGTTGAAAATTATGAATGTTAAAAATGCAAAAAGTATTAAAATTAAATAGAACAAATAAGAGATGAAACAAAATAGAAAACAAGTACAATTGTTAATTTAGAAAATGAATTGAAAGAATATTAATATAAGAATGATGAATTTTAAGCAAAGTCATAGATTGAATTGCAGAATAGAATTAATTACTTTGAAGATCAAAATAAAGAAGTATTAGAAAGATTAGATAGAGTAACTAAAGATAATTAATTATTTGATATATTATTAAGAGAGAGAGATTAAAGAATAGAATCTCTTAGTGAGATTATTCAATAATAGGAACTTTAAATATAATAAGATGCTGAAAATGATAATGCTTGGAAGGAGAAGTTTATAAAAATTAATAAAGATTATCATAAATTACTCTTAGAATATAATTCTACAAAAGCTGATTTAGAAGCTTTATATGTCAGTTAAAGAAGATGATATTACTCCAATTATATTAATTTATATTAAAATAAATATAAAATAAATCAAAACTTTAAAAGTTTTATACTTCTTTATTTATATCATAAATTTAATATATGGTAATAAAAGAATGAAAAGATCATAAAATAATAATTAAATTAATATCTTCTTCAATATTATAATAATATTTGATAACTAAAAATGAATAAATAAATAAATTATAATTTTATGCAAAATACTAGCCGGCCATCCCCACATTATACAAAATCTTCTCTGGTTAAGTATGAATTTAATGATTTAGAAAATCTTTTCAATAATAAGTATAACCATAAAAGAGTTCATTTACACGATGGCTTCAAAGATTATTTTGTATCAGAGATAAAAATGAATAATAATATATAACAAATATGATGGAAGTATCCAATTTTGATGAAAGTCAATAACCTACATTGAAAATTATATCAAAATTTAGTTAATATGATGAATATTTTTCAATTTAAGATCCAATTAGAATAATTTAAGGAAGTGATGTATTTTGAATATTTATAAGTAGTCATAATATCCATTTGTAGTGAAATTTAATGAAAAGAAATTACTTGATATTGATGACTTATATACTCAATCTCTTCCTGTATTAAATGGATAGATTGTTCTATTAATCNTATCAAATATAAGAACAATCAAAAATGATAATTAATTTATTATAATTTAACGAATAAATAAAATATGCAAATATAAATACCAAAAGATGTTGTCAAACTTTAATATGATTTCTAAAATTTACTTAACAAATATCATGGATTAGAATAATTGTATATCAAGTAATCAAATGAAATTTTGTAATTAAAAAAAATAAATGAAAATCTAAAATGTAATGTTGAAAATTATGAATGTTAAAAATGCAAAAAGTATTAAAATTAAATAGAACAAATAAGAGATGAAACAAAATAGAAAACAAGTACAATTGTTAATTTAGAAAATGAATTGAAAGAATATTAATATAAGAATGATGAATTTTAAGCAAAGTCATAGATTGAATTGCAGAATAGAATTAATTACTTTGAAGATCAAAATAAAGAAGTATTAGAAAGATTAGATAGAGTAACTAAAGATAATTAATTATTTGATATATTATTAAGAGAGAGAGATTAAAGAATAGAATCTCTTAGTGAGATTATTCAATAATAGGAACTTTAAATATAATAAGATGCTGAAAATGATAATGCTTGGAAGGAGAAGTTTATAAAAATTAATAAAGATTATCATAAATTACTCTTAGAATATAATTCTACAAAAGCTGATTTAGAAGCTTTATATGTCAGTTAAAGAAGATGATATTACTCCAATTATATTAATTTATATTAAAATAAATATAAAATAAATCAAAACTTTAAAAGTTTTATACTTCTTTATTTATATCATAAATTTAATATATGGTAATAAAAGAATGAAAAGATCATAAAATAATAATTAAATTAATATCTTCTTCAATATTATAATAATATTTGATAACTAAAAATGAATAAATAAATAAATTATAATTTTATGCAAAATACTAGCCGGCCATCCCCACATTATACAAAATCTTCTCTGGTTAAGTATGAATTTAATGATTTAGAAAATCTTTTCAATAATAAGTATAACCATAAAAGAGTTCATTTACACGATGGCTTCAAAGATTATTTTGTATCAGAGATAAAAATGAATAATAATATATAACAAATATGATGGAAGTATCCAATTTTGATGAAAGTCAATAACCTACATTGAAAATTATATCAAAATTTAGTTAATATGATGAATATTTTTCAATTTAAGATCCAATTAGAATAATTTAAGGAAGTGATGTATTTTGAATATTTATAAGTAGTCATAATATCCATTTGTAGTGAAATTTAATGAAAAGAAATTACTTGATATTGATGACTTATATACTCAATCTCTTCCTGTATTAAATGGATAGATTGTTCTATTAATCACATAAAATCCTCCTTTAGAATTAATTCACTTTATAGAATCTCAAGCATAATAGTTTATTATTTATTTATAAACTCCAAATTCTGAGATTCAATAATATATTTAAAATTCTTCAACTTCAAAAAAGCATTCTAAACCAGAAATAATTATTGGAAAGGTTATTGTATTAAATTAGTCTAGTTTTCTTTCAAAAAAAGTTTATCATTAATTGATCAATATATATTTATGCCAGATTACTCCCACGAAGGTAAATAGCAAGTTGTAGAATGTGTTTCTTTATTGTTAAGGTTGATACCACATGAAATTGATAAATTTACATTCCTTATAAAATTATAAGGTAATCCAATTTAAGATATTTTTTCAATGGGTTCTAGAATGAATGAAGCATTTATATAAAGGTATGAAAATTAATTTTGGATCAATAAGATTCTTAGATAATCTTAAAATAGAAATGGAATAGTATTAAAATAAAGGGATTAAAAAAAGACAGGTTTTGAAAAATCACAATATATGATGTTGAGCAATACAATTAATTAAAATAAAGGATTTAATTTAACAGTAGAAAATACAGAATTTATAATAAATTTAACAAAGTATCAACAAGGAACTGGTATAGTACATTCTTTTTAATGTAAAATCTATTAAAAAGGAGTAGAGGGAAGAAATAATAATTCTATTGATTAAGCAAGATTATTTTGTTCTTTAATATTTTTAATAAAAGAATTGAAAGGATTTAGTTAATATGATTAAGAAGACTTTATTAGTTTAATGAAAATAATATAATAGTCTTCATTCTTATCATGCTGTTTCTGCATTAATTTAATGAAATAAGAAGATTTAAAAGAATTAAGTTAAATAAAAATGCATTATAAGAGATATTTAGAAATACTTATATGTAGTGGAATCATAACAAATGAATAAGATAGTTATGTATTGTAATCCATATTCAATAAATGTTTGAATTGTCCAATTTATGATATATCTATACCTAAAAGTGAACATTTAGGTTCTGGAGACAACTTTACATAATAAATAATCTAGACAGAAGAAATAGGAGAAAAAATCTATTCAGTAGATTACGATTATGCATTATCTTAAAAATCATATTAAATAGTTCTTGGATTATAATAGGATTTAAATTATAGTGAATTATAAATAGAACCATAAAAAAGATTCCCTTATTAGACAACAACATCTATATAAAATTCCTTTAATGAATGAAATATATATTTGTATATTTATGAGATTTGCTATAAACTCAATATATATATAATGAGTATTATTGTTTAATTTTTAAATAAAAAAATAACAAAGATTTTAATTAATGAAGGGTTAAGCTGAATAAAAGAAGGAAGCAACAAAAACTGTAAAGAAAGTTAAGACAACTAATAAAAGTGCACCAGTGAGGTAGAGTTGAATACTAAATTTAGATTATGGGTTAAGGCTGTATTTACAGGTTTCAGAAGATCAAAAGTTTAATAAAATGAGAATTAAGCATTACTGAAAATTCAACATGTTGAAGATGTTGCTTCAAGCAAATTCTATTGGGGAAAGAGAGTTGCATACATTTATAAGGCCCATACACTTAAGAACAACACAAAATTCAGAGTATGAAATTAATTTTATTCAGACTATTTGGGGTCGTATTAGTAAATCACATGGAAAAAATGGAGTTGTGATTGCTCGTTTTGGCAGAAATCTTCCACCAAGAGCTATTGGATCAACCCTTAGAGTATTCCTTTATCCCAACAGAGCTTGAAAATACACACATACAATACAAAATAATACATTAATCAATTTTTAAATTATTTCAATATAATAAATTAGACAAAAATCTAAATGCTTCTCAATACTAAATATACATTAATATGTTAATTATATTTAAGAGTTTGAAATATTATATTATGAATATTTTGTTATTATTATTTTATGGGGCCATTCCATATGTATAATCAAATGATACTTTAATCAATGTTTAAGCTATTTGGAGACATGGAGTAAGGGACTTTTATTATTGTAATTGGGGATGTGATAAAAAAAATGAACCTGATGGCGATGCATAAATTCTTACACCTGCAGGCATGAGGCAATAATATGTTTTAGGAAAATGGCTTAGATAAAGATACATAATTGATAATCATCTTCTATCACCATAATTTAATGAAAATGAAATTTATATAGAAAGCACAGATTATAATAGGTACAAAATATATCAATTTGAGAACAATTATGAGTGCTTATAGCAATTTATAAGGAATGTATCCAGAAGGCTTTGAAATTCCAAATGTAACTGAAGATAAACTTTTGCCTCCGAATTCTGGTAGTAAATCTCCTTCTATAGGAAATTATGCTCTACCTTATAAAATTTCATTAATACCAATTCATACAAAAGAAGAGGAATAAGATTATGCTTTAGCAATTTATTGTAAAACTACAGGATAAACAGTTCAATAAAATAAATAAACAGAGCTATATAATACAATCAATTCTGCAAATTAAACATAAGAATTATTTAAAAACTNTAATAGGATTTAAATTATAGTGAATTATAAATAGAACCATAAAAAAGATTCCCTTATTAGACAACAACATCTATATAAAATTCCTTTAATGAATGAAATATATATTTGTATATTTATGAGATTTGCTATAAACTCAATATATATATAATGAGTATTATTGTTTAATTTTTAAATAAAAAAATAACAAAGATTTTAATTAATGAAGGGTTAAGCTGAATAAAAGAAGGAAGCAACAAAAACTGTAAAGAAAGTTAAGACAACTAATAAAAGTGCACCAGTGAGGTAGAGTTGAATACTAAATTTAGATTATGGGTTAAGGCTGTATTTACAGGTTTCAGAAGATCAAAAGTTTAATAAAATGAGAATTAAGCATTACTGAAAATTCAACATGTTGAAGATGTTGCTTCAAGCAAATTCTATTGGGGAAAGAGAGTTGCATACATTTATAAGGCCCATACACTTAAGAACAACACAAAATTCAGAGTATGAAATTAATTTTATTCAGACTATTTGGGGTCGTATTAGTAAATCACATGGAAAAAATGGAGTTGTGATTGCTCGTTTTGGCAGAAATCTTCCACCAAGAGCTATTGGATCAACCCTTAGAGTATTCCTTTATCCCAACAGAGCTTGAAAATACACACATACAATACAAAATAATACATTAATCAATTTTTAAATTATTTCAATATAATAAATTAGACAAAAATCTAAATGCTTCTCAATACTAAATATACATTAATATGTTAATTATATTTAAGAGTTTGAAATATTATATTATGAATATTTTGTTATTATTATTTTATGGGGCCATTCCATATGTATAATCAAATGATACTTTAATCAATGTTTAAGCTATTTGGAGACATGGAGTAAGGGACTTTTATTATTGTAATTGGGGATGTGATAAAAAAAATGAACCTGATGGCGATGCATAAATTCTTACACCTGCAGGCATGAGGCAATAATATGTTTTAGGAAAATGGCTTAGATAAAGATACATAATTGATAATCATCTTCTATCACCATAATTTAATGAAAATGAAATTTATATAGAAAGCACAGATTATAATAGGTACAAAATATATCAATTTGAGAACAATTATGAGTGCTTATAGCAATTTATAAGGAATGTATCCAGAAGGCTTTGAAATTCCAAATGTAACTGAAGATAAACTTTTGCCTCCGAATTCTGGTAGTAAATCTCCTTCTATAGGAAATTATGCTCTACCTTATAAAATTTCATTAATACCAATTCATACAAAAGAAGAGGAATAAGATTATGCTTTAGCAATTTATTGTAAAACTACAGGATAAACAGTTCAATAAAATAAATAAACAGAGCTATATAATACAATCAATTCTGCAAATTAAACATAAGAATTATTTAAAAACTTTAATTAAGAATTAGGTCTTGTTGGAGAATAATAGGTAAATGATATTATTGAATTGGCTAAATGGAGAGATACATTTACATGTAATAGATATAATGGTGATGATTTACCTCCAAAATTAACAGCAAAAACATTATTTTTTATGGATGAAATTGCATTATTATCTTTTAGCTTAAGATAATTTTAAAATTGGGAATAATCAAAATTATATTCAACTCCATATCTTAAATAAATAATTTTAAATTTTGATAATTTTATCAATGGAAAATCTAAAGTTAAATACAGAGGTTCCTCATCTCATGATTCTACTATGTTAGGTATTATTTCTGGTTTAAATTTAACAAGCGCTTAATGTTAAGCTGATATTTATTTTAAAAAACCTTAATCAGACATCTTTTGTTTAACTGAAGTATCTTAATTAATATTTTAGAATATAGAATTTTCATCTAATCTAATAATCGAACTCTACAACAATACTTAAAATGGATTATATGTGAGAATACTATATAATGGGGAATATGTGCCAGTGTGTTCTAAAAAAGGAACCTTTTGCTAATATGATAAATTTAAATCCATCCTAAGTTAACAATTTGTTGATTATGAAAAAGAATGCAATCTAAATAATGAAATTAAAAGACCAGTAAGAATACTTAATTGAATTTATAAGATCTTATACAAGATTCCTATTTGGGCAATACTATTTTTTGTGTTAGTATTATTATGTACTTGTGGGATTTTTTTATTAATATTCAGAATAAAGCAATTGAGAGAGCCAGAAATTTCAGAATCTTAAATTTCTTCATGATTTTCAAATAATTTATATATTATAATATTAATATTATTTTCAATAACATTGTTTAACAAAAATTGAAATTTATTATTATTTATCAAAAATTAAAGAATAATATAATATACAATAATCCTAAATCATTTTATTTTTTGCTCTTTTATTTTAATCTGTTTTTAAATCTTGCTATGTTTCCCAATCTTTTTTTTTTCTGATTCCCTTTTTAAATTATTTATTAGTTATTTTGTTTACTCATTATCTGTATATCATCTTTGTCTATATCATCAAAAATTAATAGCCTTTTGAATTTCTTCTATTATTTTTTTCATGTTTTTTTATTATTTTACTTTTTTTTCAATAAATAATATTTAAAATTACTTACCTTCTTAACTCAATTGCTTCACTTATACATATTTTTATATGAATTTCATATTTAAAAAATAAGATTTACTAATATTTCCTATTTTTTGTTATATAAAATTTCTAATAAATACTGATAAATTGGATATTTTAATTGCAATTTTTAAATTTATTTAAATTGTTTAATGTTATTGAATAGAATGCCTTTCTTTTTGAATTTAATGACTATTATCAATATTTAACACATTTATTTTGATGATAATATAAGGATCTGCTTGTTGATTCTATAATTATTTGATGTTTTTGTTTAATTTTAATTCAATGTCTTCTGGGAATGCCCCTTAATTTATTATCATTATTAATATATTATAAAACATATTTATAAATGAACTAAAAGAACAAACAAACTTCATTTCTTAGTCTTCTTAACTGGTTTAACATCAGATTCATCATCTTCATCATCTTCATCTTCATCAAATTCATCTTCTTCATCTTCATCTGCATCTTTAGCTCCTAAATCATCGTATTCATCACCTTCATCTTCATCACTCTATTCAATAATTAGATATTAGTATTACAGAATATTAAATTTCTTATCCTTCCTTATCCTTGTTATCCAAAACAGATAATTATGGAATGAGCTCAAAAATTTTATTAAAATATCCAGGAAGTTGTGTAATTGGATTGTCACCCAAATCTAATTGTTGTAATTACTTAAGTTATTTTAATGGCTCCACATCCTAATATTTAATGGTGATATAATACTTCAAATTTAGCAATTTTATTATCTGCAAGACCTAAACATGCTAATTTCTTAAAATTTTTGCTTATGTAAGATATAGCTGAACCATCTAATTGATTTGCCTCCAAAATTAGATTTTCCAAATTATTCAATTTTGGGAATCCTTCCATACTTTTGAGTTTACATTCAACAAGACTCAAACTTATTAAATTCTAATGTTATTGAATAAGATTTGCTGATTGAGAATCAAATTGACCAATTGCAATTCCTTCAATATCTAAATCTTCTAATTCTCCATTCTAAGCTTCTTATTATGAAGTTATTTCTTTTTTTATTTATTCAAGAGTGGCAGCCATTTATTAAAATATTTATTAATAAAGTCATTTAATTAGCTTTCAAGTTAAATACTTAGAATCTTTATAATACCGTATTTGTGGCTTATAATATTTGTTTATATTTTTTGTTTAATATTAGAAACTATGATATTAACTTTATTTTCTATTAAATTAGATTCTATGTCTAATAACATCATCTAATAATTTTATATTATTCATTAAGATATAAATATATATTATTTAGTTTGAATCATTTTCTATACATAATATTTTATTTTATTATTAAATATTAAAATCTAGTTATGAAACATGAAAAAACAATATTACTAAAATTTAGAGAGAAAATATTAAAAGATTAAAATTTTAGATTTTAATTAAAAATAATGAATATTAATTGAATTAAACTACATTCTAAAACAAAATGAAACTTATACAATTAATTAAAAAATATATTATTTGTTTTTAATACTGAGTCCACATCATTCTTTTTTTGCAATTTAAGACCTTTTAACAAGAAATCCTTGTTTTTAAATATTTTATTTATATATATTTCGATTATTGAATTATTTAATTTAAGGAATCATCCTTAATTGAAACCAAATTTCTCCTTCATTATTAAACTCTAAAATACTCAGATAATAAATCCATATTTTAATTTATAACATCTGGTTCTTAGATATTATTAAAAAATGGCTTTAATAATAACAATATATATACATGTTTTAGAGCTTCATGACAAGAAATTCTATTGGTTGGATTCAATTATAATAATTTCTTAAATTAATATATTATATATTTATACTTTTAACAAATCCAAACCATCTTAGGTCATACTTGTATTCTTGAATTATTAATCCAACTTTTGTTCCAATTAATTTTAAAATACAGAATTCTATAAATTACTTATAATAAGATACAGATAAAACTTATGCATTATCTTAATTCAATGATATGTTTTCACAAATTAATTTCATCTATTAAATTTCACTATCTCCAGCAAATAAAGGTGCTCTTAGTACCATTTGAGCAAATATACATCCAATAGACCAAACATCTATTGCTGTTGTATAACAAGAAGTTTAAAGTAATAACTCTGGTGGTCTGTACCAAAGTGTTATTACTTCATATGTATAAGATCCAGGTATTTATTGGAAAGATCTAGCCATACCGAAATCACCAATTTTAACTTTACCTAAAAAATAAAATTTTTATAATAAATACCATCTTTACTAATTAATATATTCTAAGGTTTTAAGTCTCTATGCATACACTTCTTTCTATGACATTCATTCATTCCTTTTAATATTCCATATAAAATTTCCTATTTATAATACATTTACAAACTTACTTAAATTTTATTCATTTCTAATCTATTTGATTTCAAATATGTATCCAAATCAACATCATAGAATTCCATTACTAATCTAATGCAACCTTAAACATATTCAATTTCAATCAATCTTTTTTTCATTTTAATTGTTACTTCACAATATTTTCACATTATACTGTCTATAATATCGATGTTTCTCTCACAGCTACTGCAGATACCCCTTAATCTTGTTACTATATATAATTTATATACACAACCTGCTTCTTAATCTTCTTTATAGCAACAATCTTTCCAGTTTATGTATTTATGGCTTTATAGACATCTCCATAAACACCAGATCCAACCTTCCCTTATAATTAGTATTTTGAGATCTGTGACATAATGAAAAAAATAAATATTTCAAAAAGCTTATTATTATTTTTACAATTATTTCTTAATTATTATTCAAAAGCTAAAAGGAGGTAAGTTTATAAAATAGATAATTATTTCTTTTTTTTGAAAGAAGATCATTAAATCAAAATTAAGATAGTATAAATTATTTATATGATAATTATGTCATTTTAACAATAAAATAATAACTTTTGAAAAAATTGAAATATTTTAAAATTGATTTTGACTTGTGGTATCTCTCAATTAGAAATTCCTGATAGTAAAATTCTTTTTAATCTAAAATTTTGTATTTAATAGTAAAATTCATTCAAAATATAATAAAAGACAATCAGTCTAGTTTTAATTTTTTTGATTCTTCTTTTAATTATTCCTGATTCTACAATTATTCTTCTTTAACTTCTTTTTATTTTATGTATTAAGATTCAAACTTCTCTGACCATGCACCAGTCATTGCTTTTACTAATTCTGGAGAACGTAAAATGTCTATCAATTCAAAATACAATAAATTCTCTCTTTAAATATAAAATATTAATAATACTTTTTATAGTTTTCAAGCTATCTTGCTACAGATACAGCCTAACATATTGATAATAAATCATCTGGTTAAACCATTTATGTTAATTCTAACATAAATACTTAAGAGGAGAATGTGCTTCTTATACATTTGGCTATAAGAAGAATAATTGTAGTATAAATTGTAATAACACTTAATCCATTTGTTAAGACTGAGAATTTATCACAAACTACAAAATATAATAATCCATTAGCCAAAGTTATATTTGATGAATTAGAAAATAAATTACTATTTCCTGCATATTAAAATTCCCAATTAGATACTCCTTAAAGAGGATTTTCATTACCATATGAACAATTAATATTAAGGAAAACATCTTAAGCGGTTTTAAGATCTTTTCCATAAATAGGAGTTGTATTATAATTTGTTGCCGAACTTTGATAAATTCTAAGTGCTTCAATATAGAAATTGGGTAACATAATTCCTGTATCATTACAATTTAAGGCAGCTTGCTTAATATATCTGAGTTGATCTCTACCTAATTTAGTAGTACCATTATTTCCATTTATTAAAGGATTATAAGGATATGAAAATTTATATACTGTAGGGAATAAAAATTAGAAACGTCTTCTAAATATAAAAGTTACATTAAACATGAAAGTATAATCTTCTTATAAAGATAAAGTTTGATCCAATTCTCTAATTAATTAAGTATAAAGTGGAAGTGAGACTTACCATTTAGAATTTGAAAAGTCTGATAATTAAAATCTTTATATTCCTCCTGAATTATCTATTTATTATTTTGTAATTTTTTCTTATTTAGTTAGAATTTTAATTTCAGAATAATCTTTTAATATTGGTAAATCTAATCCAAATAATTGACTCGATTCATAAAATTAAACATTTAAGTTAGTATCTACATTAACTAAATTAATTGTAAAAGTTCCACTAACAATAGGATTATCTTATGCAGCAGGATTAAGAGCAGAAAATAATATTAATGGACCAAATATACATATTAATATAAAAATAACAAAGAAAAAGAAAATAAATTTAGTTATCTTTGATATTTGTAATCCTAATTGTCTTTTCATTACTTTTTATGAAGATATTTTAGTAAAATACAATTATCTATGAATATCTTCTAAAGTAAACCATTAAAAAATATCAAGAGATGTATATAAACAAGTCCAATCCATCAATACCTTTAAATCATATAAAAATGGAATTGAATAGAATATTAAAGCAAAATAATAGCTAAGTGAATTATAAACATACAAAAATTAATTTCTTACTTTTAATTCTCTATATCCATATCTAAGTTAAAGAGCAGATAAATAAAAATAAGCACAAAATAACATAAAATATAATACAATTGAAGTATTATAATCTGAAAAATCTTCTATTGTTCTATTCCAAAGTTTTAATAAATAGCAATAAACAAAAAAGAATACTAAAATTAGAATTACTACTTATAATATATACTTTTAAACAAATTAAGTTTTGTATTTATTTTTATATATTACTTTTTCTTGATTTTTAATATATTTTTAATCTCCTCTTAATTCAATATACCTTTCAATCATCATAAATAACATTTAAAATACTAATGCTAATACTAATTGAGCAGGTACTTAATTATATTTTAAGTACCCTTCAATATTTTATGATTCCCCAGTCATAAAATTGAAAAAAAATAACATATATAAAAATAGGATTACTTAAACAAAAGCTATAGCTAAATAAAGATCTATGCCTGGTCTTGCATATTCATAAGACATTATTTTCTCAAAAAATCCTGGTTAATATTTATCACTTAAGATTTCAGGATTTGCAGCAATTTTTCTTTCTAAATCATTACCTATTTTTAACATTATACTTTCAGGTTCTTCTTCCAAACTTGATTTTTCCAATTACAATTTTCCTTATAATTAACTCTCTAATTCTATTCTCACTATTTCAGGATTCTCTACTCTACCTATTTCTGACTTAGATCTTGATCTCTGTATTTCTGATTCTTATACTATTTCTTCAACCATATCTTTATTAAAATTGTTTAATTTTAATCTGATATAACCTTGAAATATATTTTCTATCTATGTGAAAGGGTAATCAAAAATACCAAATGATTTTTATAGGAATACTTAGAATGTAATTAACCATATTGTAAATATTTCATAAAATAATCCTAATGTATTACTATTATCTAATATGTAATACCATGGAATATACTTTGTAGATTTATTTGGCTTACTGTATGAGACTCCATACATAGAGTCAACAAATATCATTAAAATTATGAAAAAGTATATTGAATAAGAAATAATCCAAAATGTCTTAGTATTTATATCTATTAATCCCCATACAAACATAATTATTGGCAATACCATACCCAAAAGAGCATAGTTTTTGAAATAATAACAAATAATTATAATATTAGTTATAGTATCCCATTTAATCAAACAATATTTAAATATATCTTGTAGAAATAAACTAAATAAATGTAATGTTTTCATTTATATTAATTTATTAATTGGATATTTTTATTTTGTTTATTCTAAAACTATTCTCTCTTTTTCATCAACAATATGTACAAATCTAAGTTCTTTACTTAAGTTATAATTCATTTAATATTAGTTTACATATTTTTAATATTATTAAAATTTATATGGTTTATACAATTTCTTATATTTATCCATAGCTTTTTAAATAATCTTATCTAAAGCTGCATCATTTAATTTATCTTTATTTTTACAAATCTCTTAATAAAATCTTCTATATATTTTCTCAAGATTTTTCATCTCTTCTTCATAAGATGTAGTATCATTCATTAAATGATTTTCTAACTAAATAAATACATGTCTTTAAAGTCGTTTATTTTATTATAAGATATAATCCATCAAAATGTGAAATGGCATAAATTTTATTTATTGATTATCATTTCTCATCCAAATTATCATTCTGATATATATTTTCCTAAAATATGATTAATCCTATGGAATTTAAACTTCAGGCTCTGTCATAAAGCTAGCAGTCAATTGAGGATATTATTATTATTAGATATTAATTGATTTTTCATTCTCAAATTATTTCATCTATATTTCTCTTAATCTTTTCTTCCATATAATCATCTTTTATTCTATTGTATCTGAAATTTAATTTAAGAGATTTTTCTCTTCCTACAATTATAATATTTTTTTATATTATTGATAATTATAATTATAAGCAAGACCTCTTGATACCATTCTAGATCTTAATTTTAATTTGGATTAATAATTATCTTATGTAGTTTTCAAATGATTAGATAGTTATAAATCAAAATATAATGAAATGAAGAATATCAAGAAAATCTATCCATCAATTTTTAAATTAAAGGCTTCCATACAATAAAATTCTAATCCATTCCCTACATCTATTCTAATTATTGAAGCATTAACACATTATTCTAAAAAAGTTGGTACTTTTAATAAGGTAAATAGGGCAATTATGATAGCAGATAATGTAAATATTGCCTAATAAAATACTTTAATTATTCTCCTTTCAGAAAAAGCATAGGGCCATTTAAAATGAAATTCTGCAACATATAAAAATCCAATAAGTATAAGTAATTAAAGAAAATTAAAAATTGATCTATTCATTTCACATAACAACAACACAAATCCAAAGAGAATTAAATGATAATTCATAGTGATTGTTTATATCAATACATGTCTAAAACTATAATTTTTCTATCTCCATAAATTATAAGTAATAATAATTTGACTGTCACTATTATTACTAAGTACTTTTTTGCATATTATAAATTCATTTTTCATTTTTATAGATTGTTTATATATTTGATTACAAAACCACTCAAGCATTATAAAATATAAATAAATAAAAGATACTATGAGACAATTAAATACAATAACTATATTTAATAATTGATTAGTTTCACACTTCATATCTTAAAATAAACTCTAATTAAGTTAATCACAATCCATAATTTCTGTGCTTTCAAAACCTAAAAAGGCTAACCAATAATCAGATAAATTTGTTTTAGCCATTATATTAAAATCATCAGGAGTTAAATTAAAATTGTTCAACTTAGGAACATCATTAATTGAAGGAGTCCAATTTAATAAATAAAGGAAATATTAAAATAGTATTGAAAATATTGCTATAGAGTTTAACATTTTAGTATTTTTGACTGTAGCACTCATTTAAAATAAAATAACAGATATTATTAAATAGAATAATGAAAATATAGTATTAACAAGCAAAGTATTTGATAAATAAAGTAATATAAGGAATCTTTAAAAAATCTTAAATAATGATTCATGTAGTAATATCTTAACAAATCTACTTTTATTTTTAAAGTAATTCAAAATTAATACTTCTCTATCAAATGAATTATATTCACTATGACTTTTAACAAAAATAATAAAATCATATTTTTAATCAAATATTTCTTTACTTTCTTCATAAGATTAATTTTAAATCCTTGATTCTTCAATTTAATTCATTTCTTAAGTTTCTTATAGATTTATTATACTATTAGTTAAATCATCTTCTAAAATCTTTGTACAAGCAGTGTCTATTACATTAACAAACAATAGAAATAAATAAAACCATGAAACCTACCAAATATTTGATTCAGTTTAAACATAATTATTTTCATTACAATCATTATTATTTGATTCATAACCACAATAACATTAATTTGTAATTATGTATTATCTTGAATAAGTTCCAAAAATAAAAAAACTAAGTACTGTATAATCCACCCATAATGGAGGATTAACAATTTCTGTAAATGATTCAGTAGATAGAAATTAAGATAGGTAAGAAAGGAAAATACAAAAGGCAGTAAAATAAAATGAATATAACCATATTTTTCTTTTAAGTTTGATTCTAGTGTTTAATCGCAATAATTTAATTTAGTCATTCAATCTTTTAATGTTCTTAGGTTCATCAATATGAGATATATCTGAAGCAAACTCAAGGTATAGTTTTTTGAGAAGATAAATTTCTAAATCTATATAATATTTTACATTTTTATAGTTTTGATAAGCTTTATTACTCATCTAGAATATCTAAAATAGTATTATGTACACGATAAAAATAACTTAAATACAAAGTCAATAATATAAATGCAGCTATTGATCTAAGATAAAGTACACAAGATATTACAATATATATTGTAATTAAATCAGTATTAATATGAGCAATTCCAATCAAAATAGATTTTAGCCATTTTTATTATTCTAATATTTTTAAATCTAGAATATTTTATGAATTAGATTCATTTAAGTTTTAATTATTTTATTTTAATTACAATTTCTTAAATTTTGACAATTAATTCAATGCAAAAGCACCAAATAAAATATTTAAAGTATCAGCTAAGTATTCTATTCTTAAATTATCTGTAGAATATGCATAAAGACCAGCTTCCTAATAATATAATTAAAGATTATCATAAAATCTTTAAAATCCATCTGATTTTTCATTTAAATCTGGAACACAACTAAATTAATAAATTTTATAATAATTTACAAAAATGAAAAGAGATATCTATATGCAAAAGCTATTAGCAATAATTACATGTATATATACCATAATAATCTTAATTTTATGTAATTAATTTATGAATTTATTTATTTTACATGATATAAGAAGACAATTCCTATATATAATAATAATATATTATTTAGATAACTATAAGGAGTGAATAACAAAAAGCATATATTAATTACATATGCTGTCCATATCAATGAATGACCATAAATGGTTTCTAAAATTCCAAAATGATATCTAAAATTTGGAGCCTTTTCTTTCACACTATCAACTTATGAAATAGTTGCTATTAATCTCTAAAATATAATATTTATTTTACATTTGATTATTGATCATATAAAGTAGTATTAAATCCATAATATTGAACTATTGTCAAATAAAATAAAATCCAATTCAAAACTAATTAGCGATTTAACATATTAAACCCTAATACTTAAACAACAAAGTAACTTTATTAAACTCCAAATAAAATGTATAAATATTTTATTAAAGTAAGGACACTAATGTAAACTAAAAGAATTATCCAATATTTTTATTAAAAAGGTACTTTCTTTCCTTTATATTCACATTTATTAGATTAATTAACAATAAATATTATCAAAAGTAGAATCATAATAAATTAAATTACATTAATTTCATTGAATCCAACCCAATATAATAATACAATTACAATTAAAAACCCTATTCTAAAATAAAATGCTAAAAATATATTAAACCAATTAGACTTTTCTTCAATTTCATTAGTTTAAATTTATATTTATATTTATTATTCTTTTTCTTATTATTCTTCAATTTATTTAATGAACAAAAAAAATAAACATAAAGTACAATTCATCAGAATTGAATTAACAGCTGAATTATCTTAATAAAAGAATCCAAGTTTCTAACATACTGTTTTTGGTAACTCATCAATATTCTTATATTCGCTAGAAGGACAAAATTAATAGAAATTATCAGGTCTATCTAATCCTGTTATATTGCTGTAATAAAAAGTAAAAAAATTTATCAGTAATGAAGGAATATTACAAAATAATGTAGCCAGTCTAATTATTTTAAAATTTAATGTAAATCCTGTTAAAATAAGCCAACATACTAATAATATTGAAAAATATGTCTATTAGAGTATGACTATACTTAGAGACAATATTTGTAATAAAATCAAAGAAATCAATGGTTTATCAATTGTATTTTTTAAACTTTCTAATTAATCATACCAAACTTTCTCAATTTTATTAAAATATGCAAAAGTAGTATTAAATTATTGATCTTCTGACTCTTTTTCAATATTAGGATTTTCTTTTGATTCATCATTATCTTATTCATCAATATCTTCTTCTGAAATTTCTATTTCTTCTTCAGATTCAATTTTATTAGAACCTTCTAATTAATTTACTTCAACACTACTTTTTCTTTTTCCTTTAGGTGAATCATTGATATCTACAGAAATATTATCCATTTAACTTTTAATAAACTCTTTAAACTATTTAAAGTCTTTATATTATTAAGAGATCTCTTATACAGTATAATTAAATTGATTTTTGATATTCTAGATTTTAATCTTTTAACTAACTAAACAAAGCATATTTAGTACAATAATTGAGAAGATAATAAATAGAATGGCTTGGGCTTCATAATTCGAAAAGTAACCAAATAATTAAAATCCTGAAAATTATAATGTGAAAGATGCAGCTCTATTATTTTATAGGATAACTTTCTTTATTGGTGTGCTGATGAAAAACATAACCACTAATATTACCATAATTACTATCTTTAAAATGATAAAATATAGTTTATCTACTAATTGATTGTTATACATTTTTAACAGCAAAACCAATTAAAAACCCCACATAACAAGCCCAATTAGAGATTTAGTACAACAAGTTAAAACAATCAGATTAAGTAACATTAATAGCTAAATATAAATTGGCAAATGATTACAATAAAAAATTTAGTCAAAATAGGACTATCTGATAATTCATAGAATTCTTATTTAATTTCGACATTTCTGAAAATTAAAATAATTATTGCTAAAGTTAACATTATGCAGTTAGGTGCAAATGCTAATCCTTGTTCTGCTGAAGAGACTGTGATTTTACCATTTATCAATGTGAAATAGACTTCCAATCCTCTAAAGTTTTCAATTGACATCATTGCATAACCCTTACTATATTAATTTAAATTACTCCATTTTTAGCTATAGGGTACAATGTAAGCTTAACTATTAAAGAGATTGCCGAAACTATAACAAAACTATACCATATTGTCTTCTTAAAATCATTAAGAACTAACCAATATTGAGTTATAAAATTATTTTCAGATTACTCTTAGTTCTAATTAGTATTATGAAATTATTCTTATTAAGCTGCAAATTCTTCCAATGGATAAAGTTTTCCATCTTTTACTTAAACTCCTTTATAGCTACTAATATAGGAGTAATTTAAAATTAAGAGCAAACATATCAAATATATGGTTGAGTAATAAGATTGTATTAAAATGCAATAAATTAATAATCCAAGCATTCCAATTATATCCATAGCCTAAATAATTCTTCTCAATTTTTTAGGTTTAATGGCATTTTAAGAAAATTGAGATAAAGAAAAATCCCTTTTTTGAATTGTTGGATCTGAATCTCTTTGTAAATCAGCATTATCACTTACTGATTACAATTGTGAATTGCTTTTATCACTTGGAGTGGGTATTTCAATTTCTTTCATTGACGATCCTTAATTAGACATTTAATAAACTATTAATATTTTTTAAAACAAAATATAGAATGGTTAATCTCATGGTTTTTTCTAAGAAGTCTATAACCATTCTTCTTCAGACATTTTAAATATGTATAAATTATTAGCTTCTCTATCTAGGAAAATATGAAAAAAGATAATTACATAGTATTTCAGGTTCTGGCAAATCATTAGGATTAGTAACATTAAATTCATCCTTAAATAACATAGGATCATAATGTTATATTTTCGAAATTAAATCTGGTCTTTCTATTTGATATAAATCTAATTGATACATAGTTATAAGAATGCTGTTTAGAGATAACCCCATATATGTTTAGCTTATGGATTAATCATAAGAGCACTTAAATACAATCTTGCAGCATCTAAATACTCTCCTTTGTAAGAATATGCAAATGCCAAATTAACCCATACTCTTACATAATTAGGTCTAAGATCTAATGCTCTATGGTAACAAAACATAGCTTAATCTGCTTCACCTAAATGTGCTAATGTAGCTCCCAATTTATTCCAAATCTAATAATTTTTAGGTTCAATTTAAAGAGCTTTCTTAAATATTTCAACTGATTTTTAATAATTTCTTTCAATAAAATAAAGTACAGCTAAACCATTTAATAATTCAACATCATTTGGTCCTTATTAATGAGCTGCTTCAAAAACTTGAATCATTCTTGCATTCATGCATTTTATTTAATCTAAAGTATAATCATATATATTTGTATTATCAGGCACAATACTATCATCTACAGCAACTTTATAATTTGGATTTCTAATTAACCATTATTTTAAAAAGGACATTGCTTTTACTTCATCCAAAATATTTGTACAAGATATACCCAAAGCACTTAATGTATCTAATTCATTTGGATTTTATTTCAAAGCATTTAAAAAAGCAGCTACAGCTCTTTAATCTTAATCATTTTCTTAATGTAACCTACCCAAAATTCTCCAAGCATTAGAATCTGTTGGATTTTTTTAAATATGAGCTTCCAAAGCAAGAATAGCTTCTGTATTTTAGCCTTAATGTACTAAATTCAATGCTGCTTGTAAAGGAAAGTCCATCTATAAATATTTATTGTTTTCTTAAAATCTATAAGTATCATTAGAATCTTTATAGAGTTCAAATTCCTATAAATCTGATGCAGCTTACCAAGCATCAGAAAACATTTTATCAAAATCTGTTCCTGTATCCATTTCTTTAAGTATTTTTTAATAAGTATCTTCAAGTTTCTTTTAAAATTAATCTTCATTTTATAATTCACTTTCATATTTTTATAATTTTTCATCCCACATCTTTGAAAATTTCTCTTCAACTTCTGTTAAATCTGATTATTTTTATTCAACATTTTTTGTAGCCTAATCCCATCCTTCTTCCAATGTCTATATTCTATCTAATGCTGTCTATTCTACTTTATCCCCTTTCTATGTTAATAATTCATTGCCAACTAATTTTAGATTTCCATTCTAAATATCCTTCATAAATCTTAAAAATTTAGATTATTAAAATCTTGGATCAGGATCTTTTTCTAGGGCTTAAACTAGATCATCAGCAAATTTTTATGATTTTTCACTCTAAGCTTATAAATCTTCAGCATTTTCATAAGCTTCTTAAAATAAATATTCTTAAGCCATTTAATCTGCTTAGTATTAGATTTCTGCTTATTACCATTAAAAATCCATCATCATTTATTACTAAATCATAGCTTATTCATATTTTCTTTACTCTTCTACAAACATCTTTTCCATCATTTATCTTTATTCTATATTTGCTTAATCATATTGTTTAGCCATAACATCCCATTATTAATTCATGCTTTCAAGTAATCGTTAACGCTCTTATAATTTTTATTGAACAATCGGATCTTATTAAACATTTATCTATTATTATATTTATCTAAGATTCTTATATTTAAGATATACTATTATTATGTTTAGCCAAATAGCATCCTATCCATAAATTGCTTAAATGGATTTTAACTCATCTATTAAGTTCCATCAGCAGTGCAAGCACCACCTGTATAAATATTTCTAAAGGCCATTATTAATTAAATGTTAAATAATTTATTTGAGTCATTATGTGTAACAAGTGCTTTGGAAATTAGATCGAATCTATATTTCTGTTCTCCTCCATTTATATATATAAATGAATAGAAATACTAATTCAATGCTAAGACTATTTACTTATTATAGGACAACGTCATAGTAATTTATACCTTAGAAAATTGCATCAAATTTGTTAATTAAGATTTGGAAGTGCTATCCTCATATACACTTCCTTAAATACCATTAGCTATATATACTTATAAAGATTTCATAGTACTTGACTATCAATATGAATATTAAATTTGTAAAATAGATGAGATTGAGAATTTAGTAAAGAAAAATAAAATTGTGAGTTTTGCGCCAAATCCCACTAATTAATTAACATATGTGATTAAATAAAAATTAATGGAATGCAATGTAGTTTATTCTAATAAATTTATGGATATAGAAATGGGTGTTGAACAAATCTATTGTATATCCAAAACCTAACCACATTTCCTCTATCAAAGCATTGTTTTTCCATAATTAACAATTATTGATTTGAATAAATGTGAAGAATTATATCATATTGAATTTGGATAATAGATTGAATAGATTTTCTTGTATCATAATACTTTTATATTACAAAGTGAAAACAAATTATTTTAAATGTAAAACTAAGAAATTGTAGAATTCAATTCAAATATTTAATTTAGAATTAGTTGTGTGGTTGAATTTAATAATCAAACATTTTTTGGATCAATAAATGATAATTCAATTCTTGTTAAGGATAATTAAATTATTAAAGAATTCTATAATTTAGGTTAAATAGTAGATATCCATCCATGTAATTAAATCTGCTTTATTGCAAGTTATAATAAGAAATATCCTGTTAGTTTATTTAGAAAAGGAATTAATGAAAATGTTTTAGAAAGATACAAATTAACAAATGAAATGAGACCAAGAAAGATCTTCTATATAAATCCATCATTAATAATGCTTAGTTTCTCTTAGTCATCTGAAATTTATACTATTCCTCAATTTATTATTGCTGATATCAAAGTTATAAAAAATTAAAAGACTTTACTTATTCATTAACTTTCTAGTATGATGATACTATAAATTACAGTTAATAAAGTGTTATTCTTATAATCATATGAAAACATTATATATTAAGAAGAATTTTATTAAAAGATAAAAGATTGTAGATTAGATTTAGCTAATAAAGCCTTATATCTATATTTAGGTAATAATGAGTTAAGATTTTACACAATTAATGATTCAAATATAACATTGATATCTTAATAGATCATCAATCGTCTTAGTGCATTTTAAATTATAAATAAGAAACTTCATTATAGTTCTTGGTTTTAATTTGAATTACATAATTTTAATGATTAATAACATTATGTTATTAATAATATCAATAGTACAATAGTATCTATTGAATAAACTCAGAATTTTATTTTATTAGGTCTAATAGATGGTAATTTAGTTTCCTTAGCTTCTGACACATATAGAGTTCACAAAATATTTTAGATTAGCAATACTCATCCCATTAAATTGATGAAATTTAACAATAAAGTGATAATCTTTTCACATCATATTTATATGATTGACAATTAACTTTAATAAATTATTGTAAATTGGGATCATTTATATGATATTAGTTTTTAAAATGATAAACTAATTGGTATTGTTTAAAATGAAATTTAAATGGTTACTTTGAGTTAAGGATCAAGTTCATAATGTAGAGAATTGAAATTTATCAAGAATTTAGAAATTAAAAATTTGAGATTTTTTAAAGATCATTTAATTGTTTTAACTACTTAAAATTAATTGTTGAGTTATTTTGATGATTAATTAAAAACTCAATCTCAATAACAATTTTCTATTGAAAAAATGGAATAATATAATAATATATATTTAGCAGGATATACAGAATCTTAATAAGGAAAAATAAATATTGTAAATGAATAGCTATAATTAATTTATAATTATACATATTCAGAACCAATATATGATCTCAAATTACATTAAAATGTTATCTTTTTTTCTACTGAAACTGCTATTCATTCAAATGATGGATAATTTGTACATAATTTCAATATTCCATTAAAGGGTTTTGATATTAAAGATAAATATTTCTTAATATATGAGAATTTCAAAGTATTAATTTAAACTATATATTTAAGGGAGCCCATTTATTTTATTATGATGAAAAAATGATAGCCCTAGGAAGTTTGAATTATCCATGTCAATATGCTTCCTTTTATTATGATGATATAATATGTTTCTCAGAAAATGATGTTAAAATTGCTAAATTGAATTTGCTTACATTTACTATCAGTGAACAAATGGAAATTGCTGTATCAAATCCTATAGAAGTTACTTGTGTAAAGGATAGATTTTATGGAACTCTATATGGTGTATTAGGATATTACGAATGAAATATAATCACATTGTTTTTATTTTTAGATTCAATATTTTAATTTAAATTATGTATTAGGAGGACACTCTTAACATAAATCAAATTCAATTTAATCAACTTCTATTGGAAGCTCATAGTCAATTTTAATTAAGAGATATGAATTAAGCAATAAGATTATATGAAGAAGCTTTAAATTTTCAAGAAGCTGGAAGAGGTAAAATCAAATATAAATTTCAAGATATTGATAGAATGGCTATAATCCTAGCTAATTTAGGAATTATTTATTTTCATAATTGCGATTATAAATAAGCAACTGAAAAGCTACTTTAAGCATTTACAATGTTGGATAGAAAGAACGATTTCAAATGTGCATTATTAATTAAGATTTTAGTAAATATTGTTTTGTTAACAAAATTTAGGGAAATTTGGCAATTATCAAGTTAATAACAACAGAATTTTAAGAATGTAAAGATTATAATGATTAAGCAATTCAATTAATCCTTTCTGTGTAAAATTAATTAATATTTAGTTAACCACCATTGTAATATCAATTATTTAAAGAACTAATGTATATTTATTATAGATTTTAATCATTTGAAGCTATGGGAGATGGCAATTTTGAAAATCTAGAATAAAAGTGTACTGAAATTATATAATACTAATATAGATGATGGATAGAGTTTAGCTTGCTTCTACTCTTCTATGGGATTGAATCGAGAACTGTGTGGAGATATGGCTCTAGCTTTTAAGTATCATCAAAAAGCTCTTAAATTATGGTATGACCAGAAAGAAAATGGGTTTATTGTCATTACATTAAGAAGAATATTAACTATTGCATAAAATGAAAGAATGGATTGTAAGGATTATGTATAATAATTGTAAAAATGTATGCAATCCCCTGAATTGAGGGGAATAAGTCCAGAAATTTTATTTAAAGATTGTGAAAAAAAATTATAATGTGCTAGAGAAGTATATATTTAATGAATTTTAAATTTAGATAACAACATCATTATAAAAATTAGAATAATAATTGAATTATCAAAAGAATTAGTAATTATTATCATAGCCATTAACAGTTAAATAACAAGATGAATTTTGGAAACTCGCTTTAAAATTAAGACTCAAGAGAGCAATCTAATATTGCTATCATCAAATGTCCTAATAAGAAGTTGAAAATGCATCTTTATTATCATAATCTATTGCATAACTTGAACATTCTTTAAAATTATTGGACTAACAATAACCATATGAAAACTATTTATAAAATTTACCATTCACAAAAGAATCAGTAAATATTATTAAATCTCATTTATTGAAATTCAATAGAATTTGTTTAAAAATTTAATTACAACCATTTTTCAATTATCTTGATTAGTTAAAACAAGAAGATGATTAAGGCCAATAACTTTTCTAATAGCCACAATTTAATTCCAAATTTTAAACTAATTAAACATACAATTAATAAATTTAAAATTCACATTATTTAACTTAACAATAACCATAGTCTTTATCTAATAGATAAAAATAGTTTGATTCAATTAATTCATAATATAATTCATAATAAAGTTAGGTTAATAATGATTATTAAAATTAATTGAATATTCAATCATATCACTCAACAAATGATTAATAAAATTATATGGTTAGAGGATAAAATTCTAATTAACATTAAAATAATCAATATCAATAATTTAATAATCCTTTGCAAAGTAACTATTCTCAAAATAATCAAATTGAATAAAAAGATTTCTAATCGTAAAAGTATTAAACAGTATATGCAAATAATTATGAATAGCAGCCATTAAAAAATAGTGGTTAATTTGGATCATAAATTATGGGTATAACTGGAAATAGTTAACCAAAAATCAATACTGTATAATCATAATATTAATAATAATAATAATATTAATAATAATAATAATAATAATAATAATAATAATAATAATAATAATAATAATAATAATAATATTAATAATAATAATAATAATAATAATAATAATAACAATTTTAATAATTATAATAATAATCTTAGTCATAATAAGCAAGTCTAAAATTCTCAAAATCTTAATTAAATCCATCACAAATAAAATAAGGATAAAATATGACAGTATCCCTAACAAAATCATAAAAATTAAAAAACGTAAGTCTTCTTAATGCTGCCTATAGAACTGTCATGTTGGGTGATTAATTAACTAAATGCAATAAATCTTCAAATGGAAGAATAGAAAGATTTTTTATTTTAGCCAATGATGGGACATTTAGATGGGCTCAAAATAATAAACATATTAATGATCCAAAATCTGTAAATTCCTATTCAGTTTCCGATATAAGAGGTTTACTCTATGGGAAAGTAACAGATGTTCTTAGAAAATCTTACAATGATAAATTAGAGCCTTGGTTATGCTTTTCTTTGATTATGAAAACTAGATCAATGGATTTTTATGCTTAACCATTATAAGTATGAATTTTTATTTTTATTTGAGATTAATTCGTGGGTATTTGCAATGTCTGAAGAAATAAAAAGAAGAAATCCTTTAGCATTTGTGATTACTCCAGGAAAAATGTTATGGAGAAAAATTAATATAATATTACATTATTATTTTGTAGATAGAAAAAAGGAAAAGGAAAAAGGAGGAAATAAAAAAAGAAAATAGCGTACAAATACTTTTGTTCATCTTTTGTTTTTATATGCTAAAAATCAATATAGATTACCTTAAATATAATGATTATTAAAATTTTTTATATAAAATTTATTGATTGATGAACATATTAATTATAAAAATTCCATAGAAAGAGCTAATAAATAAATTTAATGGTTTTTTTGGATTAAATTTTATTTTTGGATTATTTCATATTAATAAAATACGATTAAATATATAATTGAAATAGATTTTTAAGTAAAAAAAATAATTTAGAAAAGGTATAAATCAATGATTTGCAATTAAAAAGAATGTTAGAATATTTTAATTTAATATTTTTAATTAAAATTTATAATCATCTTTATAAAGTTAATCCTTAAAAATAGGACTGATAACTTAAATCTTCAGCTTCAAAAACAGAATTTCTTCGTATTTCTTTTTTATTTTTAGTTCTAAATAAAACTAAAGTTAGAATAATTGGCAAAAAATATGTAGATAGTTTAACTATTCCATGAACCAAAGCATTCAATGAATCTGAGAGATTTTACCCTTCATCTCCATAATGCTCAATAATTCTACAATCATCTGAAATCATATATAAAAAATTGACTATCAACAAAATTACTGATCCAATTAGGCTTATATAACACAATATTCTTTAAATTATTAAATATTCAATACTTTAACTAAAAGAAATGAGATTGTTATTGCTTGGTTTACTATTCATTTATGAGAAGATTTTATAAATTTTACTAAAATTTTTTGTTTAATTTTTAGACAACAATTAGAAACCCTATTTATGTGATTAGGCTAACAGATCTGAAAACTGTAAATGACATTTCTAATCTAATTTTATATATTTTAACTTACATTTGCACATTTATTACTTAGAAATTGCTTCTATAACAGACATAATAAAAGTAGTAACATCTAGGATTATGAGAACTCCAAAGATTATTCGAATTATATTTAGATTTTTTCTTTAAGATGAACCTACAACTAATTTTTTTCCAAAATAGAAAATTAAGTAAGCTTAATATACTTAAAAAAATAATTCCTCAAGAAAATAAAATGTTCTATGCTTTCTTGTTAGATTATATATAAAATAAACTAATTATTACTAATATAATACAAATGAGTGAAAACATAATAAGTATTAATATTTTCGTTGAATTGCTCTATAATTTTCTACATCGATTCCTAAAAATGAAACAAATAGTAATTGTCAGGCAAATCAAACTTAATATTTCTAAAATCCAAGCTCTACAATAATTAATAAGTTTTCTGATATTACAGATAACACTCAAGATATAAAAAATCACTAAAACATTCAATCGCTCCTTTCATTGTTGAAAATTTCTTGTAAATTAATTCTTGTTTAAAACAATATATATTTAATTTATATGCCATCATATAATATTATGATAAGTTTGAAATTTCATTCTATAAGTTCTTATACATTTAAGATCTCTTGGTAACCAGGCATAATAATATTTTTAATTGATTTTTTAAGTCATTTATAAAATCTTTACAGTTATATAATTAGATAATGCAATTTAATTGAATTATTGAAGCAATTTGATTAATGAACATCATTGATACTAGATTAATAAATTATATTTATGAAAAAAAATATATTGTTATATGGATTAGCATTTGCTGGAGGCTTTGCTTATGAAAGATATTATCCGTATATCAAAGCTTTCATAAATAATAAAAGTCAAAAAAACGATGATCATAGTTTTAAATCAATGTTGGAAGAAGGAAACTATATATAACCAAAAGTAATTGAATTAATGCATTCTTCTCCTGATAAACATTTCTTACACAATTTCATAGCTTAACACAATGAAGCTTTGAATGTGTTTAAAATATACTATCCAGATAAATTAGAATAAAAAATATATAGTGATAATCTAGAATCTGAAGATAAAATTCATTTGCATTTCGTATTTAATGCAGCTGATCATTTATAAGGACATAGTTCAATTGTTCATGGAGGATTGTTAGCAACATTAATCGATAATGCTTTTGGTTAATTAAGTTACTTGGCAAGTGGATAAATTCCTACAGCAACAGCAAATTTAAATATAAATTATAGAAAACCTGTGAAAACTAATCATGATTATATGATAACAGCAGAAATTGAAAAAATTGAAGGTAGAAAAGTATTTCTTAAGGCAACAATATATGATCAAAATAAGACTATATGTACAGAGGCTACAGGTCTGTTTTTGACAGTTCAATGGGGAGGACAAATGTGGAAAAATGCTTTAGATAAAATAAAGGAAGCAACAAATTTAGATTAAAAACTAATTAAAATAGATTAAGAATAAAAAAAATGAATGATAAAAGATAAATATAGTTTATTATAATATTAATTGTATTTAGTTACTGATTCTCTATTATATCATTAATCAAGTATATATTAGAATTAAAAAAGGTTAAATTATTAATAATATTAAAAATGAATATTTAATAATTGATTGACTTATTTACTCAGAGATATAATGGAATTCAGCCACAATTTTTAGTTAAAGCACCTGGTAGAGTTAATGTAATCTTATCATAAATGTTAGTTAATTGGTGAACACATCGATTATATGGGATATGGAGTATTGCCATTTGCATTAGAACAATCTTGTTTTATGTTATTTGCTATAGATGGAAATGACATATAGATTTAGCATGCTGATGACTAATAATTTAAACAATTCAATTTATCTCTGAATCCAAAAGAAGAATATAATGAAATCCAAAATTATGTTAAATATGTACTTGCTGGATATAGAGCAGGAATTTAATATGGAAATGCAAATTAAGGAATTAAAATATTGATTAGTGGAAATGTACCATTTTCATCAGGATTATCTTCATCATCATCTTTGGTAGTGGCATCATCCTTAATGAGTTTACAAGTTAGTGGAAAAACTTAATAAGATATTGATAGACATTAATTTGTGAATTAGATTATAAAATTTGAAAGAGAAGCTGGCACTGCTTGTGGAGGGATGGATTAAACCATTTCTGTTTTTGGATAAGAGGGATCTGCATTATATATTGAATTTGATCCATTAAGATTAACTTAAGTTAATTTACCAAAAGGATATTCATTTATTATTGCAAATTCATTGACAGAATCAATTAAGTTAGATACACTTGGAAAGCATTATAATAAAAGAGTAGTTGAATGTAGAATTGGAATTAAATTAATAGAATTGGCTTTAAATAGTGGAACTAATTTTAAAACTTTGAAATAATTATAGGATCATTTACAATTATCACTTGATTCTATGGAAGAACTTTGTAAATTTATTCCAAAAGGTGAAATAGATCTAGAATAATTGGAATAATTAAAATTACCTGTGCTTTTAGCTGATATTCCTTATTTTGAATTAGTATTAAATTAGAATAAAAGTGTAAATCCTTATAATAGATTGGTTCATGTAGTAAAAGAAGCTTAAAGAGTAATAAAATTCAAAAATATATGTGATTCAAAAATGTCTGATGATGCTAAATCAATATTGTTAGGTTAATTGATGAATCAAAGTTAAAAATCTTGTAAAGAATTATATGAATGTTCATCAGAGAATATTGATAAATTAACAAGTTTGTGTATAAAATATGGAGCTTTGGGAAGTAGATTAACTGGAGCAGGATGGGGAGGTTGTACTGTTAGTTTAGTCAAAGAGACAGAAGCTAAGAATTTTAAGAATAAAGTACAATATATTATTCATTATAGATTATTGAATTCTATTACAATCACATTGAAAACTAAGATCATATTTTTGCAACCTAACCATCTTAAGGAGCTTCTATCATAAAACTATGATTTTTATTATTCAAAAGGATATATATTATTTGGTTTTTAATTTTTTATATGAAACTCAATTTTCAAGCAATTTTCTCTTAAGTTGTCCTAATTTTGATGAGATTAGATCAACAGCAACTGCCACTACTCTCTTTTATTTAATTCTAATTTAAATATTATATTATTTAGTACCTATTAGCTGTATCTGTATCATATTCATTCTTTTTAAGTCTACAATCTGTTTCTCTATTATCTAATTCTTTTGTTTTAGTGATTATTTTTTAATCTACTTCAAATTTTTCATTTGATGCTTACTAAATTCTTGTTGACAAAGATTCAACAAGTCCTAAATTTATAATTACAATAAATTTCACCTTCCATATATGTTCTATCTTAATTTGCTTAAACTAATTAATCTGACAATAAAGTTTTTAGCAAATCAAAATTTCCTTATCTAAGAGATTCAGCTTAATCTTCTCTGATTCTTTCAGATTATATATAATTTTCTATTTATTTTAAAATGGAGAGCACTTTTCTTGTAAGAACTTCTGCTTAAGATGGTTCATCTTAGGCTTTAGAGGCTAAACGACTCATCATTTCAATCATTGCTCTATAACCTTCTAAATGAACCTAAAATAAGAATATAATATTACATGATGTTTTAATTTATTTACTTTTGCAGCCACTTATGTAAATGATGTAAATTACACACCTTAATCTTCTATATCATCCATCTCTGTTTAATCATATTTAAAACTATAATTCTCTTATAAGAAAGATGAATCTGGTTTTTCAAATCTTTTGCGATTTTTTACAAGTACATCTAAATAGCTATTGAAATATCCTTTAACTTAATTTACACCAAAAAGGGCTTGTTCCAAATTATCTAAAATAACTTAATAGGTCACTGTTTCTGTTTCCCTTTTATGTGTTTAATAATTAAGTTCTGTCTTAAGATCATTAATTTCATTATTTTTTCTTTCAAGACTGGCTACTGCTGAAACTTTTTAAGGATTCAAACTATCTAATTCACTTTTAAGTGTTAATGAATTGACAGTATTTTAATTTATTTAATCTTTCAAAGTATTAATGTCAATATCACAGTTTTATGTAATTCTAGCAATTCTTTTATCATCTCTTTCTTATTCATTCTCTAAAGTTGTTTCCAAGCCTTAGATCATATTAATTAGGTTAGAGACTACTGGATCACCTGTTTACAATTCCATTAAAATTGTTTGTAATATTGTTTAACCAAAGTTGGAGTTCTATAATTCTTCCACTTATTGATCAAAATCAGCAGCCATACTTCCTATGATGAGAAGGATTGGTAGTATTATAGAAATCTTCATTATGAATAATAAATAATATTAGAAATCCGTTTTTATTGCTATTATATTATATCAATTATATTTGATTCAGAATCTAAGGCGTTGTATGTAGCTTTTTGTTTCCATATCGAATCTTGTTTCAAAGATATCAATACATTCAACAATAATGGCTAATTAAGCATTTCTATTTTATAATTAATTAAATTACCTTTATTCAGTTTATTGTCTATGTGCCTTTTCAGTATCATTACATGTCTAATCCCAATCTGCTTATTCTGTTGATTTATTGAAAATAATCTTAATATTATAAATTAATAAATACAGAATCTTGAATTGAAATATCATTTTTGATTTCTAATATTTTTTATCCAATTCTTTCATTAGCTGCATTTAAATCAGCAACACTTCCAGATAATCTTCGATTTGCTAAAAGTAATCTTTCTTTTTATGTTTAAAAGTCTAATTCTCTAGCATCATCTGCTTTCATTTCTTCTTTTTATACTTAAAAGATGCTATCAACAAGAGTATCAATAATTTTAACAACTTTTTATGCAGCATTTTCTTGTGTATTTTCTTCTTATAAAACAGTTAAGAGCACATCAACCATACTATGAAATCCTTTCTTATTTGGGTAATATTTTAAAAAGTTTTCATGATGATTTTTAAGTTAAACAAAACTATTCTTTTTCAAAGCTCCAATTCCTTAAGATAAAATTTTCTTTGCTTCTTATAATGCAGAAACTAATCCTACTAATTCATCTCTTCTTTACTCAAATTCTTGCTAATTTAATTTTATAATTAATTACTCTTTAAACATTTCTTGCTTCTTATAATACAGAAATTCTATCCAAATTTCTTTATTCTTCTCCTTACTTATCAAACAATTATTGTTTCTTATCATTTTATTCCTATTATAGTAAGGGTAGTCTTTCTTCTGATGTAGCTTTACGTTCTTTAGCAATAGTTAATACAGAAACTGCAGCATTTGAAGCTTCTTAACATGTTTTCAATTATCCAGTTATTTCTTCATCTTCTACTCTTTATTCATTGTTTAGATCATCTTTCATTTATTTCAAGAGATGAACAACTGTGTCTGCTGGATGTTCTTGAGATAATTAAACTTAAAGTGTTTAGATGATTGTTTTTCCAAAATCACTATTCCTTAATTAAGCGAAAAAGCCTTCATCTCTAGCAAATGTGGCTCCAATCAAGAAAACCAATAGAATGATCTTCATTTAATTAAAATATTCAAAAACGAATACACATTACTTCATATCATAGATATTGATGATTCTTTTCTAGGTTATTAAATATCTTATCCTTCTGATTCATCCACTTCAGATGGCTCCTCTGAATTTGCTTCCTCTTCATCCATTTAATCTTCATCTTCTTAATCATCCTCTCCTTCTTCTTAATAATCCTCTTCATCATCAGGATTCTCTTAAAAATTAGGCTAGAATTTATAACTCTTATAATAATACCATAAGTAAATCTGAAGGGAGTGTCTTTTAAACTTTTGAAGGACTAACACTCAAATCTGTCTTGCTATTTTAAGACAATAAAACAGATATGCTTCTGGCCGCCTTTTCAAGAGTCTATATAGTTTTATTATCAGCTACAACAGCACTTTTAGTTTTAGACAAAGTTAATGATTTCTTAGCTGAAATCTATTGTTAAAAATTCATTTGCAATTATTAAAGCTAACCTGTTAGATTTGCTAATTATTATTTCAATCTCCTATTTTTATCAACAGCTTCCTCATTTTCTGCTTCTAAAATTAAACTTTATTTTTTAACTCTATAATTTTCAGATTCTAAATTCTTTATTTTCTCTCTTAATTATTTTATCTTTTGTTCAAGTGATTTCTATTAATATAAAAATAATATTATACATTATTGTTTTCTAAAATCTATTAAAATTTATCAGAACTTTAAGGAGAATCTGATACTAATTTCAAATTCCTAATAAATTTACATAATTAAAAAGTATTAATTGTCAAAGCATAATCTGGAATTGTAGGATGAATGCATAATACCATAGAAATTTACAATTATGGCCATCTTAATATTTATGTTAATTCCTTTCCTTTATCCTTCATAGCTAAAGATTCATTTAAACCTTCTTCAGCATTTTAAAATTATTTTTAATTTAAATTTGCATTTGATGTAAATACAATAAACTTTTTTACTTGAGTTTCTTTGTTAAATTATAATTCAGTTTCAATATATAGTTTTCTTATTTTAACATATTTCTTACTATTGTCCTTTATTGTCATTTTAAGTTTGTTAAGAATTATTAATCTCAATTTAGAAATTGATAATTCAATCTCTCTTACTTTGCTTTCATTTTCTTTTTTACTTTTTTCTTTATTAATAAGTATTTCATTATCACTAGGATGTTTAGATTAGCCATTAAAGAATTCTTCATATATTATTTTCACTGTTAATTATTTATAATCTTCATTTTATTAAAAGATTTCAAATTGTTGTTTTATTTGACTTATTAAAGTATCTAAATATTAGATTAGGAAATGTTTTTTATTTGTCCTTGATGCTCCATAAATCAAACATAATTAATTAGATAATAGAAGTCCTTTACCTTAATGTATACTATGTTATCTATCTAATTATTGAAGAATATATTATAGATCTTGACTTATGACATCAAAATGATAGGTATCAAAATATGATTATTCTAATCCTGATTTAAGCTATTTGATTACTTTAACATTTTCATATTTTCCTTTTATAATGTCTACAAATGGAGATTTGAAATTTTAAGAACCTTTAATAAATAGTAAACTAGAAACATCTTTTGGATGATCTTTTGTAGACTTAAGAATAGCACTAGGATTTAATTGCTTTTATGGTGTACTATACTAAATAATTGATTTATCAAGTTTGGAAGGTGATGATATTCTTTGACGTAGTTATCTAATTTCATTCTTCAATTTCACATTTTCTTATTATAAATTCGATAATGTTTTATCATAATATTTCACTTGATTGTTTTGAATTTATTTAAGTAGATTTTTATTCTCCTTTTGTAATTATTTAATTTGTTATGATTATTCTTTACTATTATTTTACAAAGACTAAAATGCATCAATAGTAATTCCTAACTATTAAAATTAAGAGAATTGTGAAATTTGGTTTTGCAAATCAAAATTTTATTGTTACAAATATTCTATATTCTTTTCTTGATATTGTATTTGCTCTTCTAAACTCTTAAATTACATCATTTAATTTGTTAAATAAATTTAATTTATTTCTCAATTTTGTAATACTTCAAAATTAAAATATACTCTATAACAATATTCCTATTAAATAAGAGTTAATAATTGAGTGATTTTAAATTTTATAATTAATTTACTATGAAGAAATCATTTAATTTGAATCTGAAAATTATTCTTAAATAACTTTGACATAGAATTTTATGAAGATTAAATTGTTCAAAAATCTAATCTAATATTATAATGATTTTTTGTAATAAATAAAGACTTAAGATGATTTAACTAATTTGAAAAAACTTAGAATTTTAATATTAAACAAAAATAGCAATTTATAAAGTAATGTAATGAAATAAATCGTAAATAAATTTATTTTAGAAAATATCATTTTATTATGCTTCTTTCTACATCCAAACTTACAACATCAAAATTATCAAGATCATAATTATCAAGTCCCCAAAGGTCAACTGTCAATTATTTAAGTTAAGACTTAGATTCACCATCTAGATAAAGAATCAAGTTATTATCTGATAAATGGAATCATATTCAGAATGGAATTGACAAGGATAAATTGGAGAAGAGAGAAGTATTAGATGAAAGAATTAAAATTATTGAAGATGTCTTATCATAGGAAAAACCAAAGGATGAATAAAGATTTAAAGTACTTAAAGATTAAGTACTTAAATTGTAAGATCATGCACATAATTAAAAATCTGAGAGAGAGGTAAATATTTCTTATTATTATAGGCATTTGATGATAAAAAAGAGAAAGATTTTAGAATATTATCTGATAATGTTGCACTTTCATTTGAATAAGAAAAAAATGCTAGAGGATCAGCAGAAACAAAGTTATAAAAGCAAATAGACGAAAGATTTGCATAAATTACATTAACAATTACCAGAAACACCCATCAATATGAAGATAGAAGTTAAGCAAAAATAGCTGAGGTCTTATAATAAATCTAAGTAGTAAAAAATTAATTAGATTAAGAAAGATAATCAAGGTATTTTATTTAATTAATATTAAATATAGAGAAGAATCAGCTGAATCTTTATCTGAATAGATTGATTCTGAAATTAATAAGTTCTCTGATTAATTATTAATTGAAAAGAAAGTTAGAGAAGAAACATAGGGAAAGATATTTAGAATGATTGAAGATGTTCATGGTAAATTGTAATAAGACATCAATTTTGAAAGAAGAGAGAGAGAAGCTACAACTGAAGCATTGTTAAAATTATTGGAAGATGCATGCATTAAAATAGATAAAAATTTTAGATCATTTTGATTTATCATTAATAATATATTAATTAATTAATTAATAAAATAAAAATAAATAAATATAATTCTTTTTTAATAAATGAAAAAAGATTAACTAATAAAATGGATAACTAATATAATTAAAACAAAAATAATGAAGAAGGAGGATTAAAAAATATATGAATTAGAAGCTAAAATAGGAAAATTTAAAGGGTTAAATTTTAATTCAAATAAATATTTGGAATCAATAAAAGGGATGGAATAATTAGATAAAAATAATGCAAAATATTAATTTGAATCTAAAATAAACTAATAGTAATATAATAATGCTTATGATTATTTAAAATAAAAAGAAAGTTAAGTAATAATAAAAAGATTAGACTTTTCATTGAATAAATAACAAAGAAATTCATTTCAAATAATAAATGATTAAATAAGTGCTGTATTAATTGAAAAATAAAAAAATTTATAAGAACATATTGATATAGTTGATGATAAGATTCATTTTAGAATATCTTTAAATTAAGAACGAACTTTATCAAAAAGTCTTAAGGATATTATTGCTTAAATGCCTTCAAGAAAATAACATGCAAATTTTATACGATTGAAACAAACATTATTTATTAAAGAAAATAATTTAGAATTTTCACTTTCTAAAGTATCTCCAATTGTAAAATATGATCCAGAATTTTAAAAGATTCTTGATGAAATTACTTAATCAAAATGCATAAATATTCAAAATAAAGTAGAATAGATATTTAAAGATTAAAATTTAACAGATTATGAATTTGAAATAGAAGTAGCATAGATATAAGATTTGAATGATGAATAAATTGAAAATTTATCAAAAGAATTATTAAACTAAATAGATGTATTTTGGGGTATATTAAATTTCAACTAAATTGAAGATGAATAAAAACCTGAAAAAAAAGTTAAATTGAATTAAAATGAATGATAAATATAGAGTTTGTTTTATTGAATTATATTATTAAGTAATGAGTATATAAACAACACTTTAAAATACTTAAGAAGAGTTAACAAAATTGTAGATACTTATCTAGAAACTATCAGAAAAAGGCAATCTAGATCAAATTACAGAGGCAATGAGTCAAAAAGAATAAATTGAACTTAATCTCAACTTGGCTTATACTTTATCTTCTATTTATTATAGTAATATATTTACTATCATTATTATTTAGCTTATTTAAAATTAAACTTTGTGGAAACTTCTTCACATCCAATTATGAATGAATTATTAAGAATATAAGAGGCTTACCAAAAATATTTGCCTTCATAAATCAAACAACCTGATTAGAAATAGATGAGTTTAGATAGAGAAGCTGCAAAAAGATTTATATAACCAAATTTAAAGAGCTTAGATGACAACCAAAATTATTAATAAAAACAAAAAAAATTAATTGAAGAAGATAAAAACAATACTACCAGGCTTGAATAACCTATAGATATTTGGAAGAATGAAAAGGATTAATAAGATCAAAATAAATAAAAATTAATTAGAGGTAATCTCATCCCATAAACAGGTCATTTGAAATGGAAAGATCAAATTGAAAAATTAATGAAAAAATGAAATGAATTTATTTATCTTAATATTATTTATAATAATAATATATCAGTTAATTAAAAAGAATAAGTAGAAAAATAAAACACTAGATTGTTGAATTTTATTGTTCATTACAATTAAAAACCAAGAATGGTCTCAAAAAATAATTTAACATTTACTTATTTAAGTTTATTATATAAAGTATTAAGAAAATCAAAATTATGATGATGAAAGAGGTATCCTAATGTAACAATAAAATAAAATTTTTAGATTGTTTTGCATTTTAGTAAGGAATTTTAGTACCTATTATGTAATTAAGACTCAAACATAATTTGAGATAACAAATTAAAATTTTTCTTATTAGTTCAATAGATCAGGACATAAATACTTTTAAATTGAGATACTCAGAAATAATGATTTATACAGATTTTAGTTAAATTCTATTTGATTCAAAATATTTTTCTTATAAAAAATTCTTTAAATTAGGGTTTTCAAATCTAAAATACAGTGATAATATAAATTTGATCAATATCCATAATAAAATTCAAAAGAACTATCCTCACAATTTCTTAATTCAAATTCTAGAAATAAATAATTATTTTTATGTCAAATATTATAAAGTAGAGTAAATTAAGCAGTATAACCTTGTATTAATAACAATTCTCAATAATAATCTTTTCTAATTTTTGATAACTAATTCTAATAAATCTGTAATTGCATATAATAAAATGATTATTTTTATATGTCATTATTTGCTACTTGGCCCTGGTACACAATTTAAAATGTGAATCTTATCCCAAGTGTCACATGTCTCAGACTTCCAATGTTTTAAGCATTTACCCTAAAATTGATAGAAGTTGATCATACTGATCTGCAACAGACTTATGTTTCATATCCGCAAACAACACCTCCAGCACTTTGACATTTATTTGTGCAATCTAAACTCCATGGGGCAAATTAATATTCGTATCTTAAATTACTTTATGCATTAAGCTAATTGCAAATAACTAAACCTAATAGCAAAATGAAAACGCAAAATCTCATAATTATTAATAATAAAAACGATATTATACTTTTAGTATATTTTAAGAGTTTGTAAAATAGTTTTTGATAATTTAAAAGAGATTTATGTAAGGATGCAGTTTTGCAAAAAGATAGTTGTATTTAATAAGAGATAATATTTAAAAATAATTAATTCTTAGGTAAGAGTTAATTGAAAAAAAATTATGTATAATATTAATGATTATTGTAAATTTTAGATACTCTATAATACTCATCATTACTACTATTTAGGTATTTAGCTTGAATTTTGATCTAAATTTATTAAAAATTTTTAAAATAAAATCATTTTTTTACAATAAAAATTATAATTCTTATACTACTCATTTAATAGAAGAAATTATGATTATTTAAAGAAAAATAATCATTTATGAGTATTAATTTCTTTATTAAGGAAAATAAATTAAAATTGTAATTCTATTAAGAAATGCACCATATTTAACCAAAAGATTACAGAATAACCTTAACAAATGGTCAGACTAAAGTTATTAATTCTACATCACTTCAACTCAAATAAAAGGTTTCTAAAATTGATAATACTGTACCATATGAATTTATGATGCTTGTCAATGATAAAAACAATTACGTATTCCAATGTAGTTAGGATTATGATAGACAAAATAAAAATTCGGAATTATATAACCTGAAAGTAATGGATATGTAATTGGTCTATTTAGAGAATGTATAATTAAAAGCTAGATGTTAAGAATATGAAAATTAGATAAATCAATTAAGTTAATAAATTTTGGAAACATCAAATAACTATAAAGATGAAATCACAAAAAATTAAAACCTTTAAAATTTATTATATGAAATAAACATAAAGGTATAGGAGTTGGAGTAAATGTAAGAAGAAAATACTCAAAGCCAAATCATAGGTTAGAAAAATGTGGATGAAAAAATATAATAAAAGAATAAAGTATTATAATAAAAAGAGGAATAAATTAAAAAGTTAAATGAGGAGATCACCAATCACTTAAACACAATTTAAATACTTAAAGATAAATTATAGAAAAAAGATGAATAATTGAAACTAAAAAATTAAGAACTAGAATAAATAAAATTGGACCAAAATAGTAAAAATTAAGAATTGTAAAATTAAATTAATTAAATTACTCATCTATAAAATTCGAATAGTAATCTATAAATTTAGAATACTGAGCTATAAAACTATATCAAAAATTAGATAGGTAATTTGGAACAAGATAAGGGTAATTTATAATAATAATCATATTATTACTATTAGAACTCCCTAGATTTAACTCAATAATTATCAGATATAAAAATTACTTTAGAATAAAAGGATTTATAGATAAAAAAATTATAGATTGATATGAAAATATAGAAAGAAAATTATGAATCTTTAAAATAGAAAAAGGATGATGAAGATCAAATATACAAAAGATCACTTGAAAGGCAATAATCTTAGCATTCTACTGAAATCTCTGATTTAAAATCATAAATTTTTAACTTAAATAGTTTTTTAAAAAATAACCAATAAGAAATTAATGATTAAGAAAAATAAATAAAAGATTTGAAGAGGAAAATAAAAGATTAAGATCTAATGAATTTTTGTGCTGAAATTTTACCAACCAGAAGCAGTTTCTATGAAGGTAGGCCAACATTAAGATCAACTTAATTCAGATGATTTTTATGAATTTGAAAATGATTATTATTAATAAATAGTATTTATAAATAATTTTTTTTACATTTTTTATATTAATAAAATTTTTAAATTGTTTTTTTACTTTTGAAAGGAAGTATATCAATTATGTTAATTAGAATATAATTATTTATGGGGTCTTACTTTATATCATTTAACATTATTCAATTTTTAAGACATTTCTTAAAAATAGAATAAAAATTAAAAAGCTCAGATAACGAATTGGATAAGAATACAATAAAATGAGTTAATAAGTAAAAAATATAGAAATATTACAATAGACTTAATTATGTCTTATGATCCTTCATAAATGTTGCAATAAATCATTTAAAGCTTAAAAATAGAACAAAACTATCTATCAAGAACTTAACAAAAGATATCTGGTACACATTCAAGTATTAGAATAACAAAAGCTTATCTTAAGTTTTGATTTTGAATGACGATAATTATATTTCATATCAAGGAAATAATCTGCTAGAATCTCTTGGAAACATACTTGCGTTTCTGATATTTTTTAAATCAAAATATAAGTATAGGAATCTTTCTAAACCAAATGCACATCCTCCATGAGGAAAGGTTCCAAATCTTTAAATAGACAATATTATTATACTTAAAAAAACTTATGTAATCTTCTAATAATTAAGCATCTTGTCCTATTGCTTTTATTTAATTTATTAAAATTTCTGAATCATGAATTTTTTAATGTCCTGATGCAATTTCTTCTCCTCTCAAAAAAAATCTATAAGATAAAGTAAAATTAGGATCCATTTTACAAGGCATTACATAGTAAGGCTAATCTTCTTTTGGTAGTCTATACATAATGAAAAAATCAGTTCCATATTTATCTTTAACTAATTTTCCTAATTATTTTTAGTTTGATATAGTTAAATAGTATTAAGGAGATTATAAAATATCAAATTCTTAAAGTAATTTTATTCCATCTTAAAATGTTAATTTGATAATAGGTTATGAAATTTTAATAGGTTCAAATTGAAATTATTATGAAATAATTTGAATTTCTTAACCAAATCTTTTCTCAATTCCTTTCAATATAAATAAAAATAATTCTTCTGTAAGATCTAACAATTCTGTATAATGTTCTTTGATAACCATTTCTAAATCCATGCAAATAAATTCACACAATTCTCTATAAGTATTACCATGAATTGCCTTAAACACAGGAGATACTTCAAAAACTCTTTCAAAATCAGCCATTATACTCAATTATTTATAAATGTAAGATGATTAGGATAAAAAGGCTTATTAATTGAAATACTATAAATTAAAATTACTATAACTATTTTTTGTTTTAAATCCTAATAATTTTGGAGTATGAATTTCAATAAAACCCTTTTCTATCAAAAATTATCTAAATAATAAAGCTATTCCAGATTTAACTCTAAAAATAGCTTATTTAGCAGGAGTTCTTAAATCAAGAACTCGATTATTTAATCTTTAATTTTGTGATAATTAATATTCTTGTATATCCTATATTACAGTATTTTCTTATTAATTCTCTTTCTGCTTTTGCTGTTCTAAGTTATAAAAATAGTCAACATCTCTTTTTGAAGCTTCTTCTATTTAGATAGGTAATTTAGATATAGATCTACTTATTACTCTAATAGTTTTTATATGTAATTCCATTTTTTAAGTACAATACTTGATTTAAATGTTTGGTTAAAACACAACAGCTTCTATATCAACTATAGATTCTAAAGTGATTTTTCCTATGTATTTGATCATTTACGAACTAGTTTATTCTCCTTTCGTTAAGACTGCTTAGATTGTACTCTAATTTTCTCGGAGAATTAAAAATGCAATTTTTCCTTTAATTCTAGAATTGTGTATTCGTGCTCTTACTAAAATGGTTTTACCAAGTAATGATTCATTAATTTCACACACTTTAATCCAAAATCTATTTGTTTTTTATTGCTATTATATTAATGTAACATCTCCATATCTATCTTAAGAGATGTCACCCTCATTAATATCTTGTTAATTCTCATTCAATTGTTAATTAATCATTTAATAATTAAAGTTAACTTGGAATCTTAATGATAATTATTTTATATTTATAAATTAGAGTATTGGAGTTTATTAAATTATTGAATTTAAAGTTATTTATTCTATATTAATTGTAATATATAAGTTAAAAATCCTTAATTATTGATCTTTATATTAAATGAATGCAAGATCAAGAACTTTTAGTAGTGAAAAATAGTAATTTTATTTTATTATTTTAAGAGATTAGCCTACAACAGGCATATCATAAAAAACTACTAATGAAAATTTTTTGGGGATCTTGTAGTGCTTGGATACAATGATTATTACAAGAATTTGGACGTTTTGAAATACAATTGCCACTGTGGAAGCATTTTGTTAATCAGTAACTTAAATCAATTAAAGTAAATGTTCTGGTAAATAATAATGGTTGAGATGAAAACATAATAATGATGAATTATAAATTTAAATACTGGATAAGACAATAAATCTGTCATTCTAAAAAAGTTTATATTACTTCAGTGATTGACACAGTTTTATATTATAGAATAGTTGATCCAATCAAATGCATTTATTGATTAAATAATCTTGTAGGAGCTATGCTTAAAGTACTTAAATCAGTCATTCGTACAGTATGTGGAGAACAAACTCTATAAGAGTTATTAGGAGATAGTTTTAGGCTATTGTGAAGGAGAGTATATTAATAATTAATAACAATAGGTGTCTACATAGAGAAATATGTTATTAAAGATCAAATATTAAGTGATGATTTAAGATAAACATTGGCATTGACATGAACAACTAAAAAGATGACTGTGGCTAAGATCATTTCTGCTTAAGCTGATGTAGAAACTGTAAAGTTCTAAGGAGAAACCTTAGATCTATTATTAAGTCAAGCTTCTATGTAAATCAGAAGTTTGAAACTCTTTCGTTTATGGCTAAAGAAGCTAGTAAAAATGTTTTAACAAAAAGATTATGAATCGAATAAATGTATGAACTTCATTCATTAATAAATGATCTATATCTATATAAATAGAATACTCCTTTATTAAAACATATATGGATATAAAGAAAGTAATAAATTAAATCTAAATTTTTATAGATATAAGTTTGATTTTCTCATTTTTGCTTAAAATTTATCCTAAAAAGACTCAGATTTTTTATTATATAATTAATTATTAATATAATTTGTTTATAGTAATCATAATTGGGAAGCCAGCTTTGGTGACTTTTACAAGAATTATTATTATAATTTCTTTCGTTATTCTTGAAGTTGTCTACTTTTTTGTTCAAGTTAGCTTATTTTAAATTCAGATTGTATCAATTATTCTTATAAATTTTGATATTATGTTGTTAACTTATCATTTGAGCATTCATTGTTTTCTTTTTCTTTTTAATTATGCAAAGGAGTAGAAAAACCAGCATCAGTCTGAACTCTATTCGATTACATATATTGGTTATTGGCTAAGCTCTACCTTTGTTATGATAATCCATTTGGAGTAAGTGTTCTTGATTATACAACTTAATGTTTTGTAGGAGTCTAAGTTTATCGTTAATTATATGGTATTTTTTATGGTGTCATTGTTACATTTTGAGGTTATTAAGGATATTTTACAACATTAGGACTTACTGAAACTTTGTTTGTGATTAATCTTATTGGAGAGACATTAGAAATTTATTAATCAATGTTCTATGAGACTCTTCTAGTAGATTGCAATTAACTTGATTTATCTAATGGAATAATAATCGACTATTAATTCTATACAGGTATTCTAATTGAAGGTTAAATTATTCTCTAAATACAATCTTTATCATTCCTAAGTATATTAAAACATTTTTCAATATTCCAATTAACAGATAAATAATTAAAAATATTTATGTATATTTTTAATTAATTTCTAATTAGATTGCAATATTCTTTTATTTTTTTCTAATAATATGTGTTCTATGTCATTATCAAAATGAAATTTATATTAATTTGAGAATATCAAAATTGATTTTTAATTGAATATTATTTATATATACCAAAAATTGATTAAGAAAAACAAATTTCATTGATGAATAGAGGTTTTTTATTTTTAATTTAAATTACGACGTGCACTTCCACTCCTGCTTCTAGGTTGTGTTAATATTGTTTCTATATTAATAAAAGTATTTAATACATTAAATATTGTTTTAATGGAATTAAGAATTTTAAGAATTCTTTTTAGATGCATTATAACTAATTAAGTTTCCTTTTCTATCCTTAATAATTATTTATTACTGTATAGTGTCATTAATTGTAGATATTGAATTATGTTTACCATGAAATTATTTTTAATATTCTTATTGTTATTAAATTTACTATTACAATAATTATTATTAATGATTTTATCCATATTGAACAATATTAAAGTAATTTTATTTCAAAGATCCTTATGATTAAGTTGGATAATCAGTGCTTTCTTAAAATTAACTACTTAATTTGTGTTCTGAATAGGAACTAGTTTTATTGGTTTGTTTACTATTAGGCTTTCTTTATACAGATGTTTTAATTTATTAATTATTCTTATTTGCTTACTAAATTTCATAATCAAATTCTATAGTCTTTTTCTATTATTCATTTTCATATTCTTAAATTCGTTGCTTATATTATGTGATATCAGATTGTAATTTAGTATTTTCCTCAAAATATTTTTAATTTTCCCTCTTTAAATTCTAATGGACAATATTGACACATGTTTACATTCATTACTTTTTTTGTTGTTTCTAGAAGCTCATTTCTTGTAGCTTCACTTTCATCTAATTTATTTTGGATTGATTCTGCATATAATTTTAATTGTTATTCAAGCTATTTTGAAAATAAGATTATATATCTACTCTAATATGATTTCTGATTTCACCCTCATATTTAATTACTGTTTATTCTAGTTTTTCGTATTCTTCCTCACCTTTAATACTTCTTATAGAGACATTTGGATCTACATCTTTTTCTAACTTTCTTTAATGATAAAAAATACATACTAGACTTTTTTATCTATTTTTATTATTAGATTTGTGAAAACAACTTTAATTATATTGACTAATTATTTAAGATTCTCATAATCTTTCAATTCCTTTTCTATTTCATTTAAATCATTTTTTGTTTCTATATATTTTTCCAATTAAATTAAAATTCTCTCCAATAAATCCTTTAAGGATTATTCAATTTCTTAATCAGAATATGTAATTGAACTAGTTTCACTCATTAACAGTTTATTAATATATATTAAATAGTTTTAATAATTTTGATTACATAATCAAATTTAATAAAAATGTATCAAATTACAAAACATATTTTATTTTTCTTCATTTCTCAAAGACAAAAAAACTGATGTATATTTTATATAAATAAATTGATAAATTACAGTTACACAATTACTTTATAGCATTATTTCTAAAATGATGACATTTTTGATAGGGATACACCAGTTTATAAATGTATTTAAGTTGAATACAATAATTTAATCAATAAATAATGAAACATATTTCATAAAATTCATAGAATTAGTAATTTGTCACAAAGAGCTTCAATGACATCCCATTTACTATTTATAATCGATATTAAGGAATTAAATTATTGGGTGCAGGTTCATATGGAACAGTTTTGTTAGCTTTGGATACCCATACTAACACTAAAGTTGCAATTAAAAAATTAAATCCATTAGAGGATATTATAGATGCCAAAAGAATGTTGAGAGAAATAAGAATATTAAGAGCTATGGCTCATCCTAATATTGTTGCAATTAAAGCTGCTATCTATGATAATGTATCATAAGAAAGTGATTATTTTGGCACTGTCTATTTGGTATAAGAATATTTTTAGGCTGATCTACACAGAGTTCTTAAAAACCCAAAAGATCTCACTGATGATCATGTATAATTTATAATGTATTATAACCAATCCTATTATAGGTATTAATTAACTAAAGGAGTGGCATATTTACATTCAGCATCCATTATACATAGAGATATCAAACCATCAAATATATTAGCAAAAGATGATTGTTCAATAAGTTTATGTGATTTTGGTCTCTCTAGATAAATTGAAGAATATGAAGAAGAAGATAATAAAAAAGCATAAAATTTTACAGAATATGTTGTCACAAGTATAAAACAATATAAATTATTATATAGGATATTATAGAGCACCAGAGATAATGGTTTCTTCTTAATAATATTCATTTCCAATTGACATTTGGTCATTAGGTTGCACTTTTGCGGAAATATTAAATGAAGGAAAGGTAAATTATTATAAAAAAACTATTAGGTTCTCTTTAAAGGCAAAACTTATGTTTAAATGGTTAAAATGATCTTTGAAACACTTGGTAAACCTGTTTAGGAAGACCTGGATTAATTTATTAAGAATAAAAATGCAATGGAATTTGTTCAATCTCTACCAAGTGTACCACCATAATCAATCAAGAAATTAATTGATTATTCTAATCCACTAGCCATAGATTTATTGGATAAAATGCTTGTAATCAATCCTCATAAAAGAATCACAGCACAAGAAGTATGATAAATGATTAAATCAGGCCTTAAATCATCCTTATTTTAAAGATATTAGAGAAAAAACTGAAGAAACACCATATAAAGGGCAAGCTGATTTTACATTTGAAAATGATGACACAATTAGTTTTGAATAGATGAGAATTATGATACTCGAAGAATTAAATAAATTAGGTGAAAAGATAGATATTCATGATGAAATGGAAAGATTAAAACAACTTAGAGAAAAAAGGAGAGCTTAAAAATTAAAAAAGTGATTATTTTTATATTGTTCATTATAATATTATAAGACAAACATATGTCAAATTAATTATTAATTTACAAAAAAACTTCTTGTATTACGAAGAAAGTTATCATCACAAACTATAGAACCTAAAGGCACAGAACATATAAACTTCAATAATACTTCAGATTTTTTATATTCAAATTTTAAAGTAAAGTTTAGTAATACTAATCCATATATTACACAAAAAACCAAACAAATTATAATAAATATCTATTAATAATATGTTGAATATTTACATTATATTAAAATTATTAATTCAAAATTTTATCTTACAAAAGATCATAAAAACTTTCTATTAAATATTATAATGCTTAACTAACAATAGTGATGCCTTCTAATTCTTATATTGGAAATGAACTTCTATTAGTAAAATTTTTTTATTCAAATTCTTATTTAAAAGAATTTTTAATATCTATAATAGTTGATGTTAATCCTTTTTATAGAATACCAAAAAGTGTGTTATTACATATTGTCAAGGTTTAATCTATCACCTAAAATAATTATTAAAAATATATACCTCTAATTAATTACAAAGATTTCCTTCATTAAACTTATTGATAAGTTAATTAAAATTGTTATCAATAATATAAGAATCTTATTAATAATTCCATAAATTTGCAACATAATCTTCCAACTCACTTATTCCTTATTTACAATTCTCATAATATTAATCTATATCCTTTTGAGTAAGAAATGTAAAGTTTTGTTTATAATACAAGACTTCTCTTGATGAATACATGACTAGTATATTGATATTCAATCTAGTAAGTTATTAATAATATTGAGCAGCATTCCTTATTAAAATATATGTCTGTGACAATGATATATATAATCCTACATATATTGCTATTAGAATTAAAAAATGTGATATAATAAGCAAATATGTTTTTAAATTAAAGAAATCAATAGGCAATACTATTTTTTTCTTTTTTTAATTTGATTTTGAAATTAACAATTTTATATTTTTGAAGTGAGAGTCTTTCTCTTAAAAATTAAATTTATAATGTAATATTTAATTGTAGTCTCTTATTACTAATTCTTTAAGATTTTATAACCTCTAAATATCTGATATAATATAATTATGTTCCTAATTAAATAATAATAATTTTAAAGCTTCTTTCTATAAACAATAAGAATAATGAGACATTGAAATCAATAATAGCATAATACTCATTGAAAGTAGAGTATAAATCATAATATTTAATATTTAGGTTTAATAATACTAAGAGTCTAATATTAAAGAAAGTAAGGCTTATTTATCTACATATGAAAATGCGTTTAAAAGTAAGTTAAAGTTTTTATATTAATAATAAAAATAAGGACTTCTTTAATCAGCTGTTCCTCCATTACTATAAACAACTTAGGAATCATATTAATAATTTAGTAAAGTGATTAGACTATTTCTTAAATTTAATTCTTATAAACTTCCATAACTTTCATACTCTTAGAATTCCAATTACAATAATAATTTTGAATAGTGACTGAAAAATAATTATTGTTCTAAAAATTTTGTAATTTCTGATTTTAATTTATCATAGCTTCCTAAAATTTTAGAGTTAGGGTATACTAAATATTCTTCAAACTATTATTTTGTAACTAAATTATAATATAATTCAATATTATAATTAATTATTGAAAATCTTATTAGAGTGAAAGTTGATATTGGTTAAAAGATATTGTTTTTAAAACTAAGTAATTTAAAATCATTTAAAATTTGATCAAAATTGCTAACAACTTAAAAATACTAAAAATTAAATAAATTTTTTTACCAACATAAATCCTATAATTGAAATTATTATAAATAACAATCTCTAAATTGTTTTTCTCAGAAAAATTTTTGGTAGTCTCTTACAAGTGGATAAACTATAAACCAATGAAAATTGTCGATAATATTGTGATTTTTGAATAGATGATAAAGAGGATTGTAATGAAGCAGGCTCAAAGTGTTATTTAACATCATTACATTTTAAGACTGTTTTTTTATCTCCCTCTTGACTTAGAATGCAATGCTCCTCCTCAATCTTTGGAGTAAATAAGATATCATTTTATTAAAAATTGTTAATAACATCAACTTATGATATAATATCTGACTTATTATTATTCTAATAACTAATTAAATTATAGTGATTAAATTGTTAATCAAAATTTAAAGGTTTTTCAATAATAATGGATTCATCAAATATAAGGCAATCATTTTACTTTTATTTATTTTATATGATATCCATACCAGTGTTATTAACTTTTTTAACATTTGATAAAATAAGTTAATAAAAAATTGTTCCCTACATAATTTATCTCTATATAATTTCAAGATCACATTTATATAATATCATATCCATCTATGGAAATTTTGAATAATCAATATTTCTTTAACTTAACAAGTTCAACTTTTTTGAATCAAAAAAATGAAAAAAAATGGAGAAATGTTTTTCATTAAATTTAATAGAGGAGAAATTTAAAAAAAATACACTGATATTCATTCCATATACCTAATTAAAAAATATTATATCAATATCTAATATATGACAAAATAGTTCTTCTTCTATATTAATAATTTATTAATTCTCATCTAAAAAGATACTATGAGTACTTTCATTTTTGTTTTAGAAGAATAAAATTATTTCAATTGATTGTAAATTTAATTGGCTTAAATCCATGATTAAATCTATTTTTCTACAAAGACCTGATTAATATTCAATGTAAGCTTAATTAATTTATTAAAAATATTTATTTTCCATGCCTGATATAAATTTCTCGATTAACTTTTTATGAATTAATTTTATATAATTTGGTATCATTTAATCAAAACTTAATTAAATTAATTCCTTTGGTTAATCAGATTAATGATATTTATGTTTGGTAATCTAAATGTTATCTAAATCTTAAATTACTACATTCATAAAAGAAAACTAATTAAAAGAATTGGAATCAATAGTTTTTATTACATATTCATCTTCAGTATTTTGAGGTGAAATAATTGATTGTGCAGAAATCAAGTCATTTAATATTTCCATATAATAAAACCTTAAAATATTTGAATATCTTTGAGCTTTAATTAATTATAATATTTACTTTAACTTGATGATAATGAAGCTTTGAGTATTTGTAATCCTTCTATTTATGTTGATATTGATTTTAATGCAAGTTGCTCTAAGTTTTTTTATATATTTTATAAATTTAAACATTCAAAATAATCAATTTTTATTTATATTATCTTTAATAATATTTCTTTAATAAATTCATTTTATTTTGTTGTTCTTAAATATTCTTAAATACAAAGGTGATTCTGTAAGGATTCAACTTTTAAGGATGATTTTTAATTTTAGAACTACTATTATATATCAAGTCTTTAAAGGTCTTAAGCAACTTTTAAAATAAAAAGTTTGTTTAATGAATTGATTTGAATAGTAGATTTCTTGATTTAAGAATCTATGTTTAGATTTTATTATTATTTAGTAGTTTTATGAAAAATTATTCTGAAATAATAATAAATGAGAAGGTATTTCTTTTAAAAAAATAGTAATTATAAATAACTGAATATTAATGATTCTGAAACATTTCTTTATGATAATTGTTGTTAATATTTTTATAAAAGTTCCTTAAAGAATATTTCATATGATAAAGTTTGAAATTATTTCTCTTAAAGTCTAAATCTGCACTTACATTTAGAATCTTTACATATTGCTGTATGTTTCTAAAGAAACATTAAAAATACCATATCTGATTGAAAAGTATGCTTGCCTTAACTAATATTATAAATTATTTAAAATAAAACATGATTACAATTTTTAATGTTACATGAGTAAAAATTGATGAAATTAAAAATTAATTCTCTTTTAATATTATAAACAAATATCTTATAAGGTAAGATTGATAAAAGAATCCATAATGATTTAAATTGATATTAAGGGCAAATCAGTTCAAATAAACACTAAAAACTTATAGTCAAAGTAATAATATTTACCATCAAGATTATTGAATAATATAATCCATAGATTAATTGTTTCTAAATTTAGATCTAATAAATCAATAAAAAGGTTGATATTGTTGGTAATAATATCTAAATATAATCAAGGTACAAATTAGGCTTTTCTTATATTATAATTATAATCATTTATAAGAATTTGATAAAGATTCTATAATATGTAAGACAAGAGTCATTGATTAACAAATGTTCACGCTTAAAATCTAAAGCCCAATTATAAGTGAACATGTTTGTTAAAAATATAAGAGTTATTAGAATTGTAATAATATTTATAATATTTAATGTGATCTGAAATATATCATCTAAATTTGATTTGATATTTTATAAACATAATTCTATCGCCATCATTCCGAAACCATATTTTATTAAATTAATTGATATATTTATGTATTACATTAATATCTTCTAGCTATTATTTTTATTAAATGTTTATTATAATTTCAATAATGTATCTGTAGATCTAAATTTAACTATATATATGAATATAATGCAACTTATAAAAAAAACACATAAATAGCTGGTTATAAAATAAGAGAGAACCACACTATTGCTTAAATAAGTATTGGGTCTTGAAATTAATGTTAAAATATTTTTCTCAGATGAACTGCTGAAAACTTTTTCAGATGTTTATATGGTAATGTATGTTATATTTTGTATTTCATTTATTATTCCTAAACCACATAATAGAATAAGAGGTATGTTCCAAATAAATTGTTCAAAAATTAATGAGCCTTGAACGAAATGTGATAATTAATTAGTAAATAAATCCATTTAATCTAAATTAATAAAATTTGTGAATTTTGTTAAAATTTAAAGCTTGAATTAGCATTAAATAATAATAGATACTCTTACTATATCTTAATATTTAATGAAATTATATACAAAAATCAATATTCAATACATAATATTAGTTCACAAGCCTAATAAAAAGTAATATTTTATCTTAATGCTTTTGTATTTTGTTAATTAATAACTATTTTTCATCTAGGGAAACCATTTTCTAAATTGATTTTTCTCAAAATTGTTCCATATTTTAAATTTAATAATATCAAAATATTATTAAGCATATCTCATGCATTCAATTTATATTTTTTCATCTAGTTTATATAAATATAGAAATAATTAATCTTATAGAAAATAACGTTAGCTATTCATTATAATTCAAAAATCTCACTATTTATTTAGATTTAAACTTCAATACTTAATATCTTGTTTTTTCTATTTCAATCTTTTGTAATAAATTACTATTTTATTTTAATTTTTTAATCTATCAATCTCACTTTAAAATTTGAGATATTATTAAAATTAAGATTAAGGATATTCATTTAAGTCAAAATATTTGATTATATCCTTCTACAATGAAATTGAAATTTTGGTTAAATTTTGAAATAAGCTTTCTTTTTAAAATTTGTTTCTTAATTTTGTAATAGTATATTTTCTAGTTTTTTAATCATTTAAATATTATAATATTATAAAATGGGTGTATGTTCAGTGGTATGTTAATAACAGACAAAAAATATAGTAAATGAATCTGCAATAGTTACAGAAACAATTAAATAGGCAATACAAGAAGATACATCTACAAGCAGACCAACTTAGTAATAGGATAGATAATTACAATTGGAAACAGGTGCAATTTATGAAGGAGATTTAGTTAATGGAATTCGAAGTGGTAAGGGAAGATAAGTATGGCCAGATGGTATTAATTCTATAATTAAGGTTCTTATTATGAGGGGGATTTTTTGAATGATATGGCAGATGGAAAGGGAATTTTAGTAAATGCTGAAGGAAGTGTCTATAATGGAGAATGGTTAGAAGATAAAGCTAGCGGTTTTGGAAAGTACCATAGCCATGATGGATTATACTATGAAGGACAATGGTTAGAGGACAAATAGCATGGTATTGGAAAAGAGATCAATTCAAGAAGTTCTTAGATAAATTAAATTGTTAGATGAATGCTATGAGGGTGAATTTTTTAGAGGTGTTAAATAAGGAGCAGGAAAATTGACTTTAAATGCTGAAGAATTTTATGAAGGTGAATTTTAAAATGGGATGATGCATGGAAAAGGTAAAAAATTGAAATAGTAATATAGCTTAGGAACTTATACTTGGAAAAACAAAAAAACTTACACGGGAGAATGGAAAGAAGGGTAAATGGATGGATTTGGAATAATGAAATGGGAAGATGGAAGATATTATGAAGGTAATTTTTAGAAAGGAAAATATCATGGGGAAGGTACATTTGTTTGGAAAGGGAAAAAGTATGTAGGTGCATGGATTAATGGTTATTAAGAAGGGGAAGGAACTTATTATGATAAATAAGGTTAGAGTAGAGTGGGAATTTGGAAGAATGGAAAGAGAGTAGAATGGGTTGATGATATAAGTAGTAGCAATAGCATTGAATAAACAATTTGAATTTATATTTATTATTAAATTATATAATGAGTACACCTCCATCCACAAATAATGTTATTATAACGAAAGTGGAGATAGCTAGATTTACAATATATTTGGTTTCTTTAATGGTTTCAGTGCTTATGTAAATGCGAATGGAAGATTAAGGTACTATGAATACATCAGTTTAAAATTCGATGTTTTCAGGAATTTAAAATGTGTTTAAGTTTACTAATCAAACTCGATTTTCAATGTTAAATTGGGTAGATAAATAGTTATATCATGGTTATTCATTGAATCAAAATTCGACAGAGATGTATAGTAGGCTGATTCCAGCAACTTTCCTTGAAATTTAAACAAAGTATGCTAAAATAGATAGTTTGGTTAATGTTTGGGATAAAGATTTAACTGAAGACAAAGCAAACTAAGGATTTCAATAGTAATATATTTACCCGTTTATCCAACGATTTCCACCCTATCCAGTATTTAAAAATATCAGCTTTATTGATGATGTTAGTGGAATAACTTTGGATTCTTTAAAATTGATCGATACAGGGTACTTAACATCAAATACTCATTCATTGAAGGCATAGGCTTCATATTATAGTCCAAATTTATAGATGATTGTAAACATTATTCTTATGACTAGTGTGTAGTCAGAATCAACATGGAATTCAGTGCTGCAGGGTAATCCTATCAATTTATACAATATGATTCATTTAGATTGAGTTTTTATTAAAATAAAACTGATTATATACGAATGGCTTTTGAAATTGTATTTGCAATCATTTATATAAACTATTTATATATGGAGGGATATAAGATATATTTTAAGATTTAGTTGGCATTAAAAGATGATGATTTAAAAGTATAAGCATAAAAGAAGAAAGATTAAAGGATGAAGTCAAAGAAGGATGCTAAAAAAAGAGGAGGAGTAGTTTAGGGGGAAGAAGGAGAAGTTAAACATTTAACAGTATAAGGGGAGAAATCAGAATCTAAAGGTCTCGAGAAAATAGAGGAGGCTAGAAGAAAAACTAAAATTATTATTAATGTTGTTATTCAACATATTTCTGACATCTGGAGTGCTATTGATGTGTTTATCTTAGTTATTCTTGGTATTGCTGCTTCAGAATATATTAAAGCCATTTCCTCTTAACCATATTCGGACTCTTTAAATGAATTATTTTAGAATGCTACAACTTATTAATCTGTTTTTGAGCCCATTTATAAATAGATGCGTAATGGAATTGAAGTTCCTTATACTTTAAATGATGAATTTGCCTAATAGGCTGATGTTTTAAGATTTTATAGAAGATTTTGTGCAGTTGCACTTTTAATAATGTGGATCAAATTATTGAAGTATTTCATTAACATCTTTAAACGATTAGTAAGTTATTTAGAAATAATATTAAATGTTATTGAATATATGATATTTTATTTAGTATTATTGGCAGCAATTTTAATATCATTTTCATTATTCTTTTACTTTTAATACGGAAGCTAAATATTCATTACATCAACAATTGGAAGATCTTTGTCTTACATACTAGGATTTATGATAGCTTAAAATGATCAATTTAATGAATTATTTAAGTATAATGAAGTCATTACATTTATAATGACTATCTTATATTATGTAATAGTAATTATCATATTATGTAATATGTTTTTTGTCTTTGTTAAATAGGAATATAATGAATATTAAATGAAACTTGAAAAATAATCATAAAAAACTAATAATTCAAAAAAACATGATGAAGTTGTTAAATATATACATCCTTATTGGTATTTTTATAATATTGCTGAATATTTTGTAATGAGATTTTGGTTCACTTTAAAATTATAACCATCAAAATTTGATGAATACAATGAAAATAAAGAATTACTATATGTGATTAATGAGAGAGAATTTAAAGAAAATCCATAAACCATTGATTTTAATGTTGATTTTGCTAATTTAATAAATTAATCAGTTGATGATGATGATAAAAATTAGAAATTCTTAATAGAAGAAGAAAAAGAAAGAATTTTAAGTAAATAAAAAATGGAACTTATTAAATTAATATGGAAAACAGTACTATTATTATTAATATTATCTTTAAATTTTATCCTTCTATAAGAGTTTTATAGTCCTGCTGATGCTTATTTATAAAGTGACTCAATTTCTAGAAAAATTAAATTTGATAGATCAAATGCATAAAAATAATACAAAGATTTAAATACAATTCAAGATATGACAGATTGGTTAATTTATGGATTTCCTGATCTTTTTGAAGACAATATATTTGGAAATAATGAATTAGCAATCTTAAAAGGTCAAGCTCCTACAATAAAAGTTAATGCCTCTTCAACAGATAAGATACTTAATTATTAACTTTAAGAATATGCTTTTGATAATCTAATTAGAACTAGCTCATTAAATACTTTCAATATTGTAGTCAATGATGTAATTAGAGTAACTATTAGAAGATCTTTAATGGTAAATAATACAATTGAATAATTCTCTACCTTTGCTTCTGAAACGATGCTATTATTTTTAGATTCTCCAACTGATAATTTAGATTCAGAATATGAGAATTATGAGAGTTTTTATGATGCTGACACTAATTTTACTATAGATTATGATGATTCAAATGGATTTGAAGGATATGGAGGTTTAGTTATGTTACTTGAACCAAAATAATTAAGTCCTGTTATAAATTCTTTGTAGAAAGTCAAATTGATTGATAGTGTTAGTTCTATAGCAATATAATTTGTTACATTTAATCCAATAAATGCCAGAGGATTAGCACATATTAAATTATCATTTGCAATCAATTAATGTGGTGCTTTATCCTTTAAATTAATTGATGTACAAGGAATTAAAAAGAACTCCTTATAATCTGTAAGTGAAATCAGTATATTAATCTTATCAGTCTCACTTATCATTGCACTTTGCTATTATTTATATGTGACTATTAAGACAATGTTGCATAAGAATTTTTCTTATGACAGATGGTATAGTACTTACATATTACTATCATTAAATAGATCATAATTATACATGAGAGAAAGACATATGCCAGAATTCATTAGAAAATCACTCTTTTTAATGGATATATCATAATTATTAAATTTATTATTTTTGACTCTTCTTGGAGCTCAAATTACATTAATACTATACTATTTCTTTTAAGTGAATACTTTAATTCAAGGATCAAAGATATTTGGAACTTCAATAAATGATTTATTACCTTCAACATTATTTTCTGTGAATTAAAATGTGGATGATTATCTTTTCTTTAGTTAAGTCTAAAATATTGGTGATAACAGTAAATTGATTGGAGCATTTGGATCATGTGCAATTTTAGTATTATGTTTAGAAATTTTATATTTACTTTCCCATAATAAAGATTTTTAAACCTTGACGAATTCAATCAAGTATACATTATCTCATTTACCATTCATTTTGATTATCTTATTAGGTATAATTGTGGCTTTTTCATCTATGGCTCATTTAGTATTAGGAACTGATTTGATTTAATATTCTACATTCTTTGGTACTATTGTTAAAATGCTTGATTTTATTTCAAAAATAGATGATATATAATTCTTTCGTTTAGATGATAGAACCTTAGAATTCTATCTCATGATATTACCATATACAATAACTGTTAGATTTATAATTATGAATATGTTTTTTGCTATTACATTAAGAGGGTATTTGCTTAGTAAAGAAAAATAGGCTGAAGAATAATTAAATTAAAAATCACATCCTTTATCATTAACTTCATAAGAATTTGTTATGCTTTCTATTTAAATGTTTACTTTTAAAGAAAAACTTATTAAAGTTGGATCTGATTAATATTTAATGTAAATTATTAAGTAATTCCAACCAATTAAGGTTTATTCTTCTATAAAGGATAACATTAGAAATTAAACTAACTTAACTGCCATGAAAGCTTGGGCTGAAGAATGTGCAAAAGAGATTAAAGATGAAAAAGAAATAAGAAAACCACTTGATGTTGCTTGTCATGAATTATTATAAGCTTACATTGATCAAAATAATAAAGGGGAGTTTGATATTTTATAAAGATTGAATACTGATCCAAAGAGAAAACTAATTGAATTCTCTTTAAAATTAACATACATCAATTATTTTAGATTTGCTATTGATTAATTAGATAAATTTACAGTCTTTTTTTCAAAGAAAAGAGAATAAATTAGATCTATTTTATTTTCTGATAGTAAAGGAGAAGATTATAAAAAAATGGTCTATATTTGTTCTTTGGAGGCATAACTTGAAGAAAATATTTAAAGCATGACATTTATAAAATAAGAACTTTTAGCCTTAGGATTTGATATTGGTGAAGCAGGTGAAATAGATAGCAAAGAGAATGTTATTAAAGTTAAACAATAAAAATAAAAAACTATGAAAGCAACATTTTAGAATCCTATGTCTGATAAGATATTTGAGCTTACAAAATTAAAACCAGATAAAAATTAAGATATAAAAAACTCTCCTGATCAATCAGATAATGAACCTGATCAAGATAACTAATTTGGAGAGTAGCGTGTGGAAAAAGTTATTAAACCTTCCACATTTAAATAAGCATAAACCATTGAGGTGAAATAGGATGATAAAAAAAAACAAGAGAACAAAGATCAATAATAAGGTGAAACTACAGAAAAGTCAACAGATGAAAAACCAAAATCTGATTAACCACCATAACCAGAATAGAAGATTTCAAAAGCCATAGTTAAAAATATGTTCTCAGTAGGTGACAAGAAATTAAAAAAATGACTAATTAGAATATACAATTATTTATCAATATCTAATATTCATACAGATTATTATATAAAATATAATCTTAATATTAAAATAAACTAAATATTTCATAATTAATTATTAATTATTAACGAGTTTTTATTTCTTCAAATGCTACGAAAAGACAGTTCTTACAGAGAAATATCCTTAACGGACTCAATAGAGCAGAAATCATTTTTAAACTTAGCCAGAAAATCATCTAATGCTGATTTGAAAGGAAAAACACCCTTAGGTGCCAAAAGCAAAGATAATAAGGAGAATTCCTCTGCAAGAATTCATTCTGATACACCTCCATAAGACTTTTTTTTTAAAAGAGAAATCATAAAATCAGAGAAATAATTACCCAATGAAAAAATTGCTATCTATAATGATGCATCAAGATTTTAATCATCCAAAACATATATGGAATGTAGGATGGAATAATTAGAATAGCGTAAGAAAACCTAAAGTCCATAGTTGTTATCCATGACTCCTGTTTAGAATAAATAAATCATTCAAGAAAGTTACAATCATCTTCAATAACCATAATAATAATAGTAATAATCAGTTTAAAGTTCAATTAACTTAACTAGAAAGGCTTCTGTTGTTCCTTCACGAGGTTTATCTACTTTTTCTTCCCCAACTCCAAAAGAGGGAGATTTTAATATCTATAAATAACAGAGCAGTATACCAGCATCATATTTAGATGCAGTTGTTACTCAAAGAAATAATAAAAATTGTACTGCCTCAGAACAATAATAATAATAGTAATAATAATAACAATAATAATAATAATAATAATAATAATAACAATAATAATAATAATAATAACAAGAATATAAAAATCCATCTCTCAAATTATATTACATTACTTCATTGATTAAAGCCTTTAAAATGAAAGGCCCAAATTCAGCAAAAGAACATCTCATTCACAATATGCAGGTAAAATTCAATAAAAATAATTTAAGGGAATCATTATTGCTAAGAAACTTAAAGTACCCCCAGTTAAAAAGGCTATAACTTTGCCAGCAACTGATAAAAAAACTCTTTTGTTTGATCTTGACGAGACTTTAGTTCATTGTAACTCAAATAGTTTTATACCTGGAGATGTTTTACTCAATATCAATCATGAAGGAGAGAAAATGGAAGTATATAATGCTTTTATATAAATTAGGCTTCATTAAATATTAGACCTTATACATCTCATTTATTATAGTCGTTAAGTAGAAATTTCGAATTGATTGTGTTTACTGCTTCTCAATCACATTATGCTAATGCAGTGATAGATTATTTGGATCCATAGAAAAAATGGATAAGTCATAGATTTTATAGAGAACATTGTATACCTACAGATGATGGACATTTTATTAAAGATCTTCGTATTTTTACAACTAGAAAATTAAGTGATATGTTGTTAATTGATAATGCACCTCATTCATATCTATATTAGATATAAAATGGTGTACCAATCATTCCTTATATAGATAATAAATCAGATGAGGTAATTATTGTGTATTATTTTAGGAATTGAAATCTTTATTGTAGTATTTGATGTAATTTAAGAACGTTAAGGATGTGAGAGATTTGAATATGTAGTAAATGAAACTATATCGTTTTTCTGAATATGATGACCCTTAAGAACTATTAAAATGTGAATTTAATGAATACTAATTATAATCCGTTTTATTATGATTAAATCACTTATTATTTGTGCCTTGCTTATAGGATTGAATGCAACATCACTCTCAGATGAAGGTGAAGTTATTGCCAAATTAACATAATTGGAACAAAGTGAATTTGGTCGTTATTTGATTCATACTATATAACTGGAGATGGAAACATCAGATAGTTTAGACCACTTAATCAATGTACTTGAGAAACTAGAAGGACGTTACTAAGATGATTAAAAAGAGGATGATGCAAATAATAGAGTCTATTAAGATTAATGTGACTCAGACATTGGTTAACTTGATAAAGACATTGCTAATAGCTAATATTCAATTCTACAACTTGAAGCAAAATTAGAAGGTAATCTCATTCCTGCCAGATCAATTTAATAAGGTGTAGAAAAAGCTAAATTAGCAGAAATTAAATGTAATATTCATCTAAAATTTTAGAATACACTTAAGAAATATAAGAATTAGATGAAGAGAGACAATAACAAAATGAAGTCTATGAAGCTAAAATTGCTGAACATTTTGAAGCCTCTAAAATTATTAGAGAAGCTTAAGCCATCATTAAGGATGGACTTTAAAGACCCTCACTTGCTGAAATTAAAAAGAATGGCAAAAATATTATTAGAATAGCACCTAATATTTTAGCTTAGGTTACTTCCAGTTTGGGTGGATCAATTAATAAAATCAGATAAACTCATAGATTTACTAAAGCATATGCAAGTATTTTCAAAGTATTGTTAACAATCATGAATAAATCTGAATCCACTGCTGATGAAGGATCAGTTGAAAAGTAAATTTAATATTTATACTTAAAAACTCTAGAATAATTCAACTTTGCAGCGATTTATTAGCCAAGATTGATGATAGCACTAATTTAGAACGATTTGCTGAAGATAAAAGAGTACAAGCCTATGAAAAACATAAGCATTTATTAAATAGAGATTTATAATCTGCTTAATCTATTTTAGCCAATACATAAGCAACTTTATAAAGGTTATTTTTTATAATAATTTTGTATAGTTTGAACGACTCAATTTAATAAGCCTAAAACTCTATATCCACAATATAATAAAGATTAGATTATTATTAAGATACTAGACAATAAAGATTTACAGAATGTGAAGAGGCTGCTTATGATTATTAATAAGCAAGAAGTGCCAGAGATAACAATAAACAATTAGTATCTGACTTAATTGGTTTAGTAAATAAACACCTAAGAGTTCTTAGAGAACAATTAGCACTTAGAGTTGCAGCTGGTGATAATATATGAAAATACATTTGGATTATTTCCATTATAATTAATCTTAACTCTTCTTCTTTTAAGAGATTAGAAACATTAAAATTTATGAGATCACATAAAATACTTTCTATTGAAATTAGTATTAATATAAATATAATTATAAATGATAAATTAAGATAGTGCAGATTTAGACATATAACAAGAAGGATTTGATTTTTAAAAATTATTTGACAAAAAATTTACAAATTGTGAACCTTAAAAAGAAGAGGTTCATAAAATTAATTAGACTGAAAATTAATAACCCTGTTAAGGAGATACTTTAAGAGAATTAGTCAAGAATATTAAAATTGAAAAACAAGTAGCGGGAAGAAATAAAAAAAATAAAAAGATTTAATGGAATGAAAAGAATACAAAGATATTTAAAGATCTATATTAATAATATTCAGGTAATTTGGATTAAATCCTTTTATACTTTTAACAAAATAATGAATTAAATACAAAAATTGATATTAAATAAATTAAAGTATAATTGTCTTATAATAATTACTAGAATAAATTTAAAATAGAAAAGAAAAAAAAAAATTTGACTTTATTAACAAAGTCACAAAGAATATCCAAAAATCTTAATTACTAATTAAAGTTAGACTGAAATAAATTGATTTTAATTATATTATATATATTTTATCTGATATTTTTCTGACTATTTTTAAAGTACATAATTAATTCATTTACATAATCACTAAATAATGAATATTGTATAGAAAAAGCGGGAAGAATTTTCAATCAACATCAGAAAGTAAAAAAGAGAAGAATTGTTTAAATCCAAGAGAATCTCAAATAGCCAATATTTACCATTTTCTTATAATACAACCAATTTAGCAGAAATTTATTCAAATGCTTATTACTAAAAATAGTGTCCAAACAATGTTTAACTTAATGAAACTATCTAAAAGATATTCAAAATATCTGAATTAGCAGATGCATTTAATGAAAATGAATGTGAAAAAAATTATGATACATCTTCAGATGTTGAAATCATATTTGACATAATCAATAAAGGATATCCAGTCTTAGATGTATTAAATTATATTTATTAAAGAGAGCCTGTTTGCAAATCTTACTATCATTTACATTACCAAGTCATTTTACATGCAAACCAATATTAAAGTATATACCTGATTTGTTGAAGTTTTTCAATGAAACTTAGTATGATGAACTCAAATAGACGGTGTTGTTTGTATTTTCTAATCTAGCAGCTGACTGTTATTAATGTAGAGATGCTATTTTAATTTATGAAATACCATAAGCAGTATTCTAAACTATATATTAAACATCAAGAGAATTAATGGATGATCTAGCATAAATTCTAATTAACATCTCAAGAACTCAACCACTAATGTCAAATTTTAACTAAATTTAAATGATTAAATTATGTTGGCAATTATTTCCTTATTTATAAGGCAATGAATATATAGCTGGGATATTGTAACTCATATAAAAAATATGTTAAAAGGATAAAAATTTATTAGATATGAATTTTCTTAATAGTATCTGTTAGAATTACTCAAATTCTGATTAATACTTAAATGAAATATTAGCTTTGATTAAAATAATGTCATATTTTGATAGAAATAGATATGAAACTATTGAAAATAACATTCTAAATTACTTAATACTTAAAGTAAATTAAACTCTTATAACTGGATAATAAGATATATATTTGTAAAAGTAAATCAATAAAGTTTTGAGTATTTTTACAAATATGATAGTTGAAAACCCTAAATTAATTTTTAATACTCTTAATACAAATATAATTTAATTATTTAAATTTAATGAATAATTATAAGAAACTTATAATGAGATCTTTAGTAGCATTTATTATTATTCTTTTTATTATTAGATTATCAATAATTTAAATTAAAACTAATTAAAATAATTCATTTAATTGTTCTAACCAATTTAATAAATGATAATTTTATTGGATTATAATATAAATAATACAGATATTATTATTGATATTTTAAGAATTATAGAGATGATTATGCAAAAAAATATCGAATCAATATCTGTTTTTGTAGAGTAAAATGGAGAATAATATTTAGCTGAATTATCTTAACATGAAAATGAAGATATCTATAATTTATGTGAAGAAATTTTTGAAATCATTAAATGACTTATTATTTATTTTTTTGAATTTTTTAATCAAACAATAATTATTATGATAGTACATAATTTATTTTTCCAATTTCTTCAAATTAATAATCTCTATTAAGTAATAAATCTCATAACTTTGATTGAAAAAAGGGGAGATTTAAATATAAAAGAAACTTTACAATTTTCTTATAATATTTAACAGATCAATTAATTAATTTATATAACAATTCATGGATGGGACTGCAATTACATAGCTAAAATCTTAATTATAGAAACTAAAAGAGGAAAAGGAAGAGTTATAAAATGATGTTTAAGAAGAAAGAGCTGTTGTTGCTCAAATGTAATAAGAATTAGCAACACTTAAATAATAATAATAAATGTAAGGAGGTTAATTGAGAGATAAAGAATTAGCACTTTAAGATTACAATCGCATGATTAAAGAAAGTGAAACAATATTGAAAAAGTTAATCGAAACATCAAGCAATTTTTTAAAGACCTTGGAAGGAGAAACAAATAAGTTAAAGAATCAAAAAAAATGAATTATTACAAAATATTTATTACCATCATTCAAATTAATATTAAGTGCTTTTGTTAATATTTTAATGAAGTTTGGATTACATTTCATTAAGCTATACATTTTTTCAAAATTATAATAATAATAATACATTATATATTCAATAAATATTGAGAAAAAGAAAATTAAAGACTATATTTGTGTGAATATCATAAAATAGTTATATTAGAATTGAAATTTTAAATTTATAGAGAAAAATAACTATATCCAATTTATTAAAAATAGTGTTTTTATAAACTAAAATTTCAAATAAATAAAAAACAAATTGAATATATTTCTTTTGAAAAAATGTCTCAATTTTAAACATTAAACCTGAAAGTTTCTAATGAAACTAAATCTGCAATCCAAAAATCTATATTGAAAAATCCTTAGCATTGTTCAAATCAAAGTAAAATTAGATTGGATTGGGCTGGGAATTAAGTAGTCAAAGGTGGACTCCATAAAATAGTTTTTATAAACTAAGATGAAACTGCTAGAACCTTTATGGATATATTAACAAATGATTTTACTGATTCATATGATGAAATAGTTCACAAAAAAAAAAAAAACTTTAATTAGGAATAAGCAGAAAATTATATCAAAAATCAGTGTGAACAATGTTAATAATCTAATTGTTGTTTTATTTAATGATATATTTTTGATTAATAGGATATCTAAATATATATATTTTACCTAATATATTAGTTATTGAACTATGGTTTGATGTTTTATTATGAGAATAATATTAAATTAGTAGCATTTTAATGATAATAATTTAAATACAAAATAATATTTAGTTTGAATCAATTTATTCAAAGATGATTTTGCTTTTAAAACAATTCTTAAAATATTTAGTTAATTAGGAGTAATCTATATGATGTTTCATCATCAGTAGTAACCTTCATTTGTTTTTGTGAAAAGCTTCTTAAGAGAAAGGGTTTTTAAAATGAATACTATTTTTCTTATGCTTCTTTACTATGGATAAGTTAAATTTATTGTTTAATTTTACTGCAATCAGTTTCTTAATACTTTAAATTGTATTTTAAATCTTCAATATATTTACAAGTTTAATTCTTACATTCTGATCTTCTTGTTTATAAATCTTTGAAACCTAAGAATGAATATGCAAGTGATTTATATACATCTGCTTACTTTTTACTTTTTATTGTCATTTTAAATATTTCTGAATTCAAATTGTTTCCTATCTTCTTAACATGATTATTAATCACTTAAATCAAATTTAATAAAGGAGCTGATATATATCTTATTAACCTAGTGGTTATAAGTACTAAGAAAAGGCATATTCCAACATAAATTTCTATTTCTAGGATCATTTTCATCTTAATTGCATCAACTTGATCTTATATTTTTTAACTCATTTCTAGTTCATAACTCACATTTTTGAAACTTAAAAATACTTTAATCATCTTACACAATCAAAGTTAGGTTTTCCTTTTCAAAGTTAAAAGCATTAACAAAAACAGTTTTATTGAATATTTTATTTTCAAGATAGAAAGCAGTTTCTTGTGAGATTTTCTAGTTGGAATTCTTTTTTATAAAGTCCCAATCGGTCTAATTAAAACCTGTATATGTTTCATTAATTATTGTAATAAGGAGATTGGTTTAGGATATAGATGGCATAGTTGTCAAAATAATATCTCCATTTTAATTGACCAAAAATATACTCATTGGTATACTTTAGATTTTTTTATCATAAATTTCTTAGAGTTATGATGTTATTCCAAATAATGTTTAATTAATAATCAAAGAATATGTCAATGAAAAATATGGCATAAAACTTCGAACTGATGTATAAATAGGAGAATAATAATATTATTAATTTGGATTAATCTCATATTGATCAATATGATTCTTGTACCTATAATATTATTCAATATTACCATGGTCTTGTATTTGGAATGTAATCTTTGTATTTATACATCCTTGGATATTATGCGAATATTTAATTATTTGGTACATCAATAAATGATATCTTATTTTATTCATCGCCTAAAAATATTTATGAGAAAGGAGATAATAATGAAAGCGTTTTGTTTAGTAAAATTGCTTGATTATCATATTATTTTGTGAATAATCCTTAACAAATAATATCTGAATTATAGATTATATTATCCTCTCTAATCTCCTCCTATTCAATACAATCTTAAAATTAATTCACTTTGATTTAGTACTAGGCTTATTTCTATATAAATTAATAAACCATTTATTATGAATGCCATAGATTTAAAATTGCTAATTATATTTGATGTAATGAGTACTTTGATAATTTTTCTATTGAATATAAAGACGTAATTCTTTAGAGATATTGTTTACAATACTTTTCTCTTATTTTAAAGATAATGCTTGTTGTACTTCTTAAATGTATGTGAAAAATATTGCTTATTATATATGTGCTGTTACTAATACCAGGAATACAGCAAATATTATTATAAAAAAGTTGATGATTATTATTTAGTTACTCATTCTGAGATCCTTAAACCATAAAATTAGTTTGCTGAACATGAATAATTTAAATACTTATTTAGCAAGATTTAATAATGAAATTTTCATTAATGATGATCTTATACATTTTATATGATTATAATCTTGCTTTTAAAGAGTTTAAATACTTAAAAATAGATTTCTATTTAATTGTCTTTTTTGAGACTGAATTAAAAACTTTATTTTTAGAAAGAAAATTAACATTAGAATTATATTATATTTATACTATAAGATTTATAATTAAAAAATTAGAATATTCATATATCTTTATAAAATATATTTGATATATATAAGGTATTTAGATTTCTTAGAAGTATCCTTTTATTAAAGTTTAATAAAAAGTAACTCTATTATTTCACTTTATACTATTGAAATCCGATATTGAATCAATAATTTAGTAAAATCTTTACCTTATTATTATTTTTCATTTCTTTTTCTTATGATTGTAATCTCTTCTTTGAAATTTTCTTCATAAATTTACTATGATTATTTTTTTTAGTTTGCTTAACTCTATTGAAGTATAAAGTTATTTTTTTTCTCATATAAATTAAATAAACTCCTCATTTTTAATTATAATAATTAATTTTAAATCCAATAAAATGCTCCATATTTTTTGTATTATCATATTATATTTTAAACTTCCTTTTATTAAATGATATAAATAGTTTCACATCATTTATTAATACTGTAGAATGTTTAATAATATTTTATTATATAATTATAATTATATATGCAAAATTAAAATTCTTTTTAGAGATTAACCTACATTATAAAATAGTTATATTTAAAAATATAATAAAACCTATTTTTGATTATAAAACATATGTTTATTATTAATATTAATAATTAAAAATATATTAGATAAAGTATTGTTTATTTAAATTATGATTTTTTATTATAGTTCATTGTTTTTAATCTTAAATTAAGTTTGGTTAATTATTTAGTTGATCACTTTATTTTCCTATGAAATGCATTGTTTCATTATGATGAATAAATTGAGTTTTACATTCCTAAAATTCATTAAAGTATGATGTATGATCTGAAATAGAATACCACCAAAGACTGTTTGAACAAGTATCATCTTCTACCAATCCTTATAAACAAATCTTAAAGGAGGTGTTTTCTTCATTATACCAAACTTCTTATGGTAAATGTGAATAATAGAAATTCATTGGAGGTGTGTGAACAACAGTATCTGCATAATGAGTAACTCTCCAATATTCTTTTGGTACTACATAATTAATAAACCAAGTAGCAAATTCTATGTTTCCTACTCTTGGAGCACCATAAGTAAAAAAATTATCTACTTAAATTCCTAGTCTAGTGACGTCAACAGCCATTAATGCTGCAATAGCACCTCCTAATGAATGACCAGTAATTAAAACTTTTGATTTAGGATATTTTTATCTGAGTGTTTTAGTACAATTAATCATTTCATTAGAAATAGCTGTATATGTTTCCCAAAATCCAAGATGAACAGCACAATCCTTACAATCTCCAAATTCTTATTTAAAGAACTTTACATTGTTGATCCAATTAGTTAAATCCTAAGTACCTAATTTGATACAATTATTCAAATACTTCTATAAACTAATACGATATAATTTTCCTTTTGATTATAACCACAATATGCTTAACTCGAATAATTTCCTGCAAAAGCCTATACATCAATCATATCAGGGTGCTATTAGCAATAGTATCCACAATCCCAATCAGCTATTTCCTTTGGATGACATACTGCAATCTTAGTATAATGAAAAAATTGTTAAGCCAAAGAATGTGAATATATTTGATTCACATTAGATTTATGTTTGAAAACTTTTTCAATTTCTTTCTCAATAAATCCTTTATTTGCGTAAGAAACACATATGAGAAGCAATACTATTAATAAATGTTTCATTCTAAATATTTAAATTCTTATTGTAATAAATGAATACTATAATTTTCTATTTTATTATAGAGATTATAATAAATAACATAAAAGTCCTTATTAAATAAAAAATAAAGATAGATCATTATCATCATTAAATATTTTAATAGAAAAACTAATTTTATATACCAAATGTAAAAATACATATACTTAAATGTTACATCAACATAAATTTGAATAATATGTATAAAGTTCAATCTTGAGATATTAAGATAATAGTTAATGTTCATTTTGTATTTTTAATAAAAAGAAAAAATGTTTAGTTTTTCTACATATTTGATTAATAAAATTTGATTATGTATTATTTATATGAATATATTCTTAATTAAATATGAAGAACACCTTTTTTCATAAAATTAAAAGATTCTTTAGAGGGTATTATTGATCTATAAAATCATTAGTTCTCCAAATGAATGGAAAAATCTACCAAAAAGAGTAATACATCCAGGATAGGCTGATATACTTCTACCAAATAATAAAGTAATCACTAGCAAATATACTATTTTTACTTTCCTTCCTTTAAATATGGTGGAATAATTTAGTAAAATGGCTAATATTTATTTCTTAATTGTTGGAATATTATAGATGGTTTTAAATCATTCTATCATTAGATTCCTGCAATTACAGTTTCTGATGGGTTACCAACTGAATACACTCCTTTAGTAGTCATTGTAATAGCTACAGCAATCAAGGATCTATTGGAAGATTTATAAAGACACAAGGCAGACAGAAAGGAAAATAATACTATGATATCTGGTAAGAAAAGTTAAGAAATAAGAGTTGGAGAATATATAAGAATTAATCCTAATGAGTAGATACCAGCAGATATTTTATTATTAAATTAAGAATGTTTTGTTGAAACATCTTAATTAGATGGTGAAACAACTCTTAAACCTAAATAACCAATAATTGAGAATATTGAATATATTGAAGCAGCAGGACCAAATCCTTATTTATATTAATTTAGTGGTTCTATAAATGGGTAGAAACCATTAAATGAACATAATTTATTACTTAGAGGTTCATGCTTAAAAAGTCTAGATCCAATTGATGGAATTGTAATATATACAGGACATTAAACTAAAATTCTTTTAAATTCACATAACCCAAGAGGTAAAGTAACAAAAATGTAATAAGTTATGAATAGATTAATTTTATATTTATTCATAGGATAATGGCTTTTGTGTATTTTTTGTGCTTCCTATTTTACAATAGCTCTAAGTATTAAGAAATAAGATTTAGATTATCTTTATTTAAATCAACCTGAAGTTACAGCTTTACTTTATTTTAGTAGTTTTTGTTAAAGTGTAGGAAATTGGTTTTTACTTTTTGTAAATTTTGTTCCAATAAGTTTGATGTTGACTTTGGAGATGATTAGATTATTTTAAGCTTATTTTATAATTAAAGATCCAGAGATGGGTTAAAATACAAAAGTTTAGTCTTCTAATTTAAATGATGATCTTGGATAAATCAATCATATTTTTTCTGATAAAACTGGAACTTTAACAGCCAATTAGATGACTTTAAGATAATATATTTTTAAGAATTATAATATTGATTTATAAAGAGAGGATTCTTAATTAATATTTAATGAAGAAAATATTATTTATTTACTTCAATTTATACTTTGTAATGATATCAAAGTAAAAAATGGGAATGTACTATCCTCTTCTAGTGATGAAATGGCATTAATTAATTATTTTTTAAATTAAGGACTTTAAATAGCAGAAGATGGTAAAAATTACCTTATTAATATAAATAATGAAATTTATTATAGAATTGAAAAAGTATATTTAATTCCATTTAGTAGTGATAGAAAGAGAATGTCAATTGTATTAAGATTTTAAGAAAAACTATATATATTTTGTAAAGGAGCAGATAGTGTTATAGTATCAAGAACCTAATCATCTACAAATTATTAGGATGTTATTCTATCATCTAGTTAAACTTTTGCTAATTAAGGTTTAAGAGTATTACTATTCTCTTACAAAGAATTAGAGGAATCAGAATTTGCTGAATGGTTAGAAATATATGAAAAAATAATGATATAATAGGATGAATAGATGTTAGATAAATTACAAAATTAATTAGAAACCAATCTTATTCTTTCAGGGGCAAGTGGTGTTGAAGATATTCTAAGTGAACATGTTTAAGAGACTATAATTGAACTTTAATATGCTAATATCTAAATATGGATGATCACTGGAGATGCTTATGCTACAGCTAAGGGAGTAGCTTAGAAAATAGGACTCATGAGTTCAAGATCCAAATCAATATTAGTTGAACATCAAACGATAAGTCAAATTGAAAGTTTAGTATTTGATTCAGAAAAAAATATAAGCAACTAATATGAAATAAGTTTAGTAATTTTAGGCAAAATTTTAATTGATTATACAATAGAAGATAAATTTAGATTAATAAAATTAGCAAAAGAATGTTAATGTGTAATTTTTAGTCGTGTTTCTCCTAAATAGAAGAGAGAAATTGTAGAATTATTTTAAAAATGTTTTCCAAATCTTTGTACATTAGCAATTGGAGATGGTGCAAATGATGTTAATATGATAACAGAAGCAAATGTAGGAATAGGAGTTTGTGGTATTGAAGGTTTATAGGCTGCAAGAGCATCAGATTATGCAATTCCTTTATTTAAATGTTTATAATAGTTGCTTCTATTTCATGGTAGAGAATGTTATAGAAGAAATACTTAAGTAGTAACTTATAATTTTTATAAAAATGTATTGTATTTGATACCATAATTTTGGTTTGGATTATATAGTTAATTTTCAGCATAATCAATCTATGATTTTTATGTCTTTCAATGTTACAATTTTATGTTTACATCATTGCCTATTATTGTTTATGGAGTATTTGATATTAAATTCAATGATACTATGCCAAATAAATATAAATTTGGACAAGAAGGTCATTATCTGAATTTCAAAGTTTTCATCCTCTCATTATTAGAAGGAGTTTATCAAAGTTTAATAATTTTCTTCTTTTGTTTCTATTTCTTAAACACATCATCTTCAAATGGATTTGAATATGGATTATTAGTTCAAGGATAAATAATATTTTTTATTTGCATTATTGTGGCAAATACAAAAATTCTATTACTTTCACATTAAATATAAGTCTTATAGATTATTATACAAATATTGTCATATGTATCTTATATATGTACAATTTTAATATTCAATAATGTTGTAGAATATTAATTATATGGAGTACTTTAAGAAATTTTAACATAAGGAATCACTTATATAATTGTTCTGCTAGTTTCCTACTTGTCAATTAGTGTTATTATATATCAAAAGAAATACTAGTTATTTAAGAAATTAAAAAAATCTTAAGTATCATAATCAACAGCAATAAATGCATCGTTGATAACTTTATGATGATTTTGATTATGAAAAATATATATACAATTATTATATCATTTCATTTATGACATGAATCCAAAAACCTCTAAATCAGAGTAAGTTATGTATAAGAATCCATCTTCAGGATCCTTCTTTTTCTCGTAAATATCTACCAATTTAATATCTAAGAATAGCATTCAATTTATTAAACCTTCAGGCAACAATTAATTTCCAATATGAAAGTAAAGAGATTATTTAGGAGATATTTATAAAGTGTTTTTTAATGTATCACGAAATTAAATCATCCTAAAACCTTTAGTAACTAAATATCAATATCTTTAAGATAAATTGTACAATTATTTTTTTAAATTTTATATTTAAGACTTTGGATGTTTCTCTAAAATCACAGGAATCATATCTGGATTCTGATTTAACTTTTCCTTAAATTTAGCTTACCTTTCTTAAATACTATAAGTTTCCTTAAAAGTTTTGGATGCCATTTGAGATTTCTACATTTTAATTATACTTTTTATAATTATTAATATACATAAAATAAAATACATCAATGCTTATATTTTTTTCCATCAAAGGCTCCTTGGATCTAAGAGAAGGTGGCTTGTTTATCCCATTCCAATAAAATGTAATTTTCATTACTAACATTCAAACAATTCAAAATCACATAATTATGATAAATTAAAGCATAATTGTCTACTATATCTAATTTTTAACCAGAATCCTTTTTTTCTGGTTATAACATTTTATTAAATTCTTACTCCTTTACTTCTTTTGGTGGTATACCTCTTTGATGAAGTCTAATAAAATGATTACTATAATATATTAAATAAGTAATTCTTACTTAGTAAATAATAACATTCTTTTACTATCCACATTATCAGTTATAGCTCCTCTTATTGGATCTTTTAAGAGAGAAACATTAAGTGGAGAATGCATCATGTGTTCTTTAGAATAAGAATTCATTTGCCATAATTATTCTTTAAAATCATAATTGTAAATTGCAAATATATGAGATGCATAAGTAACAAGTATTTTCATACATTTACCATTGATTATTAAGATATTTGTAACATAATTTTGATTAGATCTACAATCTATTTATTCAACTTTATTATTAATAACATTTACAGAAATGAATTTTTATAAATGAGGATAAGTAATAATTAATATTTTTTTATTAACAAATTTCATTAATTTTGGTTATCCATGAATTAATTAAGCTATAAATTAAGATTATCCATTAAATTTATGTTTAAATAATTTATCATCTTTATCAATACTATAAAATGTATTTTAAGTATGATCAAATTCAATAGATTTGAAATGAGGATATACTTTATATTTTTTAAATTATTTATCTACTTCATTCATAATTATAGTTTAATCACTTTAACCATAACATAATAACTTTTTAGTTAATTTAATAAAATGAGCTGGTTTTTAGAGTTTAAATTCACACCAATAAATAGGATCAGATTCAATTTCATAAGATAATAAATCAATAGAATCATATTTATTAATTGCAATATATTAATGATTACAAATAAATTGTTCACTTCTAGGAATAGTAAATATATGTGTAAATTAATTTTATTAAAGAAGTTAACCATTAAGATCTAATTTATAATAACAAATATCAGTATTCAAACCTCCAGATATTAGGATATTATTTTTAATGATTTCAAATGCATAAACATCATGAGATTATCCTCTTAATTATTATGTAATTTGATATTATGATCCATTATATGATAAACAAACAATTTTACTATCTACTCCACTTACATAAACATTATTTAGATTTGAATATAAAGTAAGAATATCTGACATATGTGTTTGTATTTATTGGATTTCTGTATTAAATTAAGTTTCATAAATTATTACACTACCATTTGATGATCCAATAAATAGATTATTATTACAAATGCATAATTTCCATGGAATAATTACATTGGCTTTAGCTATTTTAGAACTACTTATATTGAGTTACCATGTTTATTATTGTAATAATGTCTTTTAAGTTAATTATCTAATAGATCCATTAGAGAATGATGCATAAACATATTCTTTATTAATAGCAATTGATAAACATTGACAATCTAATTATTATGATTATTGTATTTGATATATTTTATTGTTTTAATAATCAAATTTTCTAATTGAACCATCACTACAAGCACATAAAAATTAAGAATCATATGTAGGTATTGATTAATAGATATTAATATTATCTGGCAATTAAAAATTATTTAAAGGTTTATAATCGTGAATATTAAATAATGAAATTTGACCACTTAAATATGCACATATGAAATCTAGATATATTATTTATATATATACATTCTTCATCAATCCAAAAAAGTGATCTAATTTAACTATTAATTGAACAACAGATTGAAATTTAAGTATATGTTGGATAACAATAAATATCAATCACTCCATTTTCTTTACCAACTAACAATAATTGTTAATTAGGATTATTTGAGAGAGCTGTGATAGTGGATGGTAAATATGGAATTTGTTTGTGATGTAAAGAAACATGAGCCTTTTCATATTACTTTTTAATCTGTGGTTGCTCTAATTACATTATTTTAATTTATATATAATATATATATATATGTCAAGGTATTAATGACTTTTCTAGCAATTATTATTCTTCTATTTTAACCTCTTCTTAATTCTCTGTGACATTTTCCTCAATAAGCATTTGATAAGGAGGTTATGCTGGAGGATGTAATATATAACTGACTTCCATATATTATAGTACAGTATCCCCACCTAAAATATTATATATATATATTATTACGTGTTCCATATGCACAATGAAAAGTAGATGATGTCTTATCAACATATTCACCTCCAACTTTTATATAGAAATTACCAGCTTTACTATGCACATCAAATCCTGTGATACCTTAAGCTAATATATTTTAATGAGATTCAAAAATAAAAGTAGAAGGAACTTCTCTCTCAAATCTTTATACTCTTAATTTCATCTTATTTTCAGTATCCAAAAATTAATTAAAATAATTATCTGAACTACCCAAAGTTCCCATTATAGTAGAATAATCTGAAGAAATAAAGTAAGCTATTCTAAGAGTGTTAATATGACATCTATCTCTTGTTAAAAATCTAACAGGAGTAGCACTACCTGTAGGTTTACCTAACTAAATTTATATAGTTGTTGTTAATGAATCATAAACTTCAATTTCAGCTCCTACAATAAATGCTACTATTCTTGGTGTTGGATATTTTAAATAATATTGAACCATGAAATCTTAAAATCTAGTTCCGAAACCTTATCTCAATCTAATCAAATCTTCAAATTGATAATTAATATATTGAACTTCTGCTTCTGAATCTACAAATGCAACCCATCTTACTCTTAAAACTGGAATAATTGCTGGACCATTAATTAAATAGTTTATATAAAAGCCTTTTACAGTCACATCTGAAACAAAAGTTTAATAATTGATATTCCTATTTTTATTCCACTCTATTTCTTCATGCATCAATAACACTTATGGTCGTCTATTCAATTATGCATTATTATAACCTGCTGAATTATCTTGGAAATTACACTCTTGTAAACATTTGTAATGGATACACAGGTTCAATAAATTTGCTTTGTCTATTGATGGTTCTATCAATTCCAGATTACCATTCTGTATAACCATCATATCCCAATTGTCCCAATACACTAATACTTAAAATTGCTACAATTATAAACATTTATATTAATAAAACGATATCAATTAGATAATAATTCTGCAATCAATTCCACTAATGCCATTGTGTTTTACATAAATATATCAAAAATTTCTCGTTTTCTTTATTACAATTAATAAAATTCTTCCACCCAATCTTAATTTTTGATACATTTAATTAATAACTTAATTTCTTCTAAATTCATTAATTTTTCTTTAATTTCTTCAGCATCTACTTCTACTTAATCTTAATCATAATTAGTTCTTCTTTTTCCATAAATAAGATGACTCATCACCTATTATAGATCATACTTATTATGAATCATAGCTTAAACTACATCCTCTCTTTTATAACCTTATTCAATCAATTCTAAAACCTTTTTTTTGTAATCTTCAGCATTATCTAATATCATTTATTAAATTTCTATATTTTTCTACTTTTTCTTTTCTTTTATTGTTTAGATTATTAGATCTCCATCTTGTACATCTTAATTAATTAACTAGAGTTTTGGTTAAAGAATTCTGTTCTTATGTATATAATTGTATTCTTCTTTTGTGTTACTTATAATGTTATTTAGATCTTCTACAGTGATTTGTTAAGGAACTGTAAATTTGAGGTTTTCCCTCGGAGAAATTTTAACTATAATTTAAATCATTAATAATATATACACATCAGGATCTAGTTGGAATGTATTTCATATGATATTATGAATAAAAAAGTGAGAAAAACCATGTTATTATTTAAAGGGAAAAAGGATGATATAGCAATATTTATTTAAAGATTTGATTAAAAGCCTGAATATAAATTAAGTTGCTAACATAATAAATTTTATTCATGAAATATTAACAATAGAATGATATAGAGGGTCAGAGGCATTCACTTCTGACTGTTGAAGATCTCACTGATTTATTTATACTTAACAAAATCAACGATGGACAAAGTATGAACAAGGTTAAATCATTTGGAGACGATTATGGTTTAGCTCGTAAGCTAAACTCAGACATAAAAGTATTAAAAATGGTTTAAATACTTATAGTAAGGACTTGGGACAGAAGCTGATGTTTAGAAGAATAGAGAAAGTTTTGGAGACAATATACCAGTAGAGAAAGAACCGACAACCTTGTGTGAATTGATAATGGAATGTTTGGAAGACACTATGCTTCAAATATTATTATTAGCAGCATTAGTATCAACTATAATAGGTATTATAAATGAAGGTTTGGCAACAGGATGGACAGAAGGGTAAATTATTTATGTAATCATAATAGAGCAACGATTTTTTTTGCAATATTTTTAATCATCTCAATAACTGCAGGAAATAATTATTTGAAAGAAAAATAATTCAGATAGTTGAGAAGAAGATTAGATGATGGAAAATGTCAAGTAATTAGAGGAAATAAGGTAACGGAAATTGCAACCAAGGATCTAGTTGTTGGTGATATTTTGTTATTTAATTTAGGGGATCTATTTGTTGTAGATGGTATAATAATATATTTATTATTATAGGATTGATGATATAAGGAAGTACAGTTAAAATGGATGAATCAGCGATGACAGGAGAAAGTGATGAAATAAAAAAATT